TTCAATCAATTCATTTTTTTCCACAAGTATTGATAAAGAACAAGCTCTGTCATTTCTAAACAGTTGTGATGTTGGAGACAACATAGAACCAGTCTTGTTTGAAATTGATGCCAACCCTGCGTTAGTCACTAGCAAACCATTTGCTGATGTCAGTCTTTACAGTGAATTTACTGATGAATCTGAGGTCCTCTTTATGCTTGGTTCGATTTTTCGTTTAAAAAACGTGAAGCGCCGCAGTGATGGCAAAGTATGGATCGTCCGAATGACTTTATGTAGTGATGATGAACATGATTTAAAACAAGCCTTCATAGATATGAAGGATCGGTTTTTGAGTAGCGAAATAAATCTTCAAACATTAGGAAAACTATTATGGGAGATGGGTGAACTTAATTTAGCTGAAAAATACTTCATGCGTTTGTTAGAACAACTGTCACCCGACGATCCTTTACTCGGCGATTTGTATCATGATCTTGAAAGACTTGCATCAAATGCGGGTAATTTGAATAAGAGTATGGAATGGCGTCAAAAAGCTATTGCATTGAAAAACCAAAAGCAACCAACTTCCAAATCTACTATTCCTAAACAAAGTAGCTCTGCCGGTAAGTTCATTGAATAAAAATCTATTATCTTATGACACAAGTTGTACACCAAACAAGAAATATCCTATTTCAAAAAAAGAAATCGTAAACACTAATAATCGATTTCTTCACGACATCATTGTGTTTCCTAATCAGTCAGTTATTTTCGTTATAGACAATAGTTGAAGGTGTCAACGTCTGTTATGATCTGATAACTATTTGATTTTGTTAATATACCTACGGTAGATTAAATTTAGAGTTAAACACATTTATTTGAACAAACAGGAAAGTTTATTGATATTATCAAAGAAAAACACATGCATTATTTTCAAATGAAGATATGTTACGGAAGAAAGTATCTGCAATAGATTTCGATTTATTATCCTAGTGGATCTGAAATAACTTCAATATAGAACACCTTTGTTATCTGCTTGTGAATTTTTGATAATCTTCATTATAGTGATGAAGATCGTACACCAAGTATTACAAAAGCTAGTATGTCTCATGAGAAAGAATATTTTATAATATGTGTACGTGGTACTTACAAGAAGATATTCATAAATGAGACAAAATCGATTTTGTTTTGCTTGTTGGATATCAGATTAAATTATGTTTTCTTCAAAGCAAGAAACTTTCTTCTTTACTAATAAGCTACAGTCTTTTTTAATGTTAACTCTTCAATAGCGGTTATCACTACCTGTTAAAGAAATTCTATGTAAAATGTTGAAATGTAAATATGCTACTTTCGAATGATTTTGAAACTTAGGTGATGCAAAAGTTCTGATTTTTTTCTTGACTAGAGAAATGTTCTTTTATCTGATTTTATTCATATTGATGACTGAGAAATCGAGATTTACTTAAAAGAAATAGGTATTACTGATTCGTGCCATCTTATCATAGAATCAATTTGTCTATGGATAGGTTCAAAGCATGATATTACATGAAGAAAGAGACTATATGATGACATCGATGAAAATTATTTGGGATATATTTTTTTATAGTTAAGGAACATAATATGTTGTTCTTGCCAAGAAATATACTAAACGACATATAGCCAGATTATTTTGGACCGATGCAAATAAATAAATTTTAATCTTAACTCGTCATTTAGCCATATTTCGTTCGTGAAACTCTTTTAGAACATCTTTTAGTGCAAAATTCTTAATTGATTCTTGTCAGTTAATATTATCTTTATTTTACCAATATGTGTTTTTTCACAGAAGAAGATATTTATTTAAATTCTATTAGATCGGAAACTTTCATATTTGCACTTATCAAATAAGACTTGACACTTAATATCTCGCTTAAAGTTTCTCTAATTTCAAAGAATTTAAAGAGAAGAAAGAGAAAAAAATACTATGTTCACATTTCAATATAAACACAATCAATATTTTGATTCTGAGCTATCTTCAGTGATGATAAATAATTATTCTCGATTCACTTTGTTTTTTCAAAAAATAAAACAATTTCTTTGTAAAGATCTTATCATTTTAATAAGAAAATATCCGGTATAGGATTTACTATTAAGTTTTGTATTTAAAAAACAACTCGTCCAATTGCGTCGTCAGAGTAAACTTTATTCAGTTGTTTGATTGTTTTTAAGTATTTCTGTATTTCTGTAGATGAACATTTCACAAACATTGAATTTTTAATAAAACCCCAATGTTTATCAAGTTGTTTGCTACTAATTTTTATCATTTCATATGTATAAATCAAGGACTAAACTTGGAAGTTTCATACGATGTTCACGTTTGACATACACGTAAATAAAAGATTTAAATAGACCAGCAAATATGCATGAAAAAGGCCAAGAGTTTTTTCATTTTTAAAAGTTAATATTTATATATTTTGAAACAATCTTCTTTTCCAGTCTACTTTTTGAAGAGAAATTATATGTCATTGAGAGCATTTTGAAAAGAGTAGAAAGGCGATACATTTTTAGCTCTTGTTATCTTTTCAAAAACAGTTCCAAAAATGCCGAAACTCATTTAAAACATCTTAATAGGCATGGAAAGACAAAAGTTTTCAGAAAATTTTAAATGACGAACAAAATGATCGTATGAGGTTCCATTTTTTTTCTGGTGGTATTTCAATAGATAGGCGCTGGGTGTGGGTGTTCTTCTTTCATATACACCCACACCCACATCCTATATTGGGGGGAATAGGGCAGTACTATAAGTCAGAGAGTAGTTAAAATATGAGTTGTTCGAAGAAATAGTTTATTAGAATGTAAATAGTGTTAGACTTGACTTGCATTGAGAAACATATGCACCCTATTATTAGCAGCGCAATATTGCTATGTTGTTTTGTTGTAAACTCATTATTGAATAAATTATTACAAGTTGGTATTGTCCAAAACATTCTTTCATTAGTATTCTTGGTTGTGTACTACTTACAAGAGTTTTGATTAATTATCTCGCGATACACCCACACCCTCGTTCTTTAGATCATTTATTGACTATAGAAAAATAAGACACCTTTAAATTCTTTTAACTGCTTCAATGCGTTGCTAAAAGCTTGAGTTTACATATACCATTTTCAGAATCAGAATTTATACTGTGCTACGTGTTTGCGATTGAATCATTTTCGTATAAATTACATATAATATTTCATGAAGTTATTCTATACTGTATTTAAATGAGAATTATTCCTTATTCCAATATATTTCTATTCATGATGTCCCATAGGCTTATCGCCCGTTGGGGCCAACCACTTTGTGGATTAGTTTCTTCCATAACCGTCGGTCTTGCGCTTGGTGGAACAGGTCTTGTCCGCTGCTTCCGCCCCAGTCTTTGATGTCATCCAGCCATTCTCTACATTGTGTTTGATTAGCCTATTATCGTTCATTCTACAGATATGGCCGAATAGTCTTAATTTTTTCTTCTTAACTATGTCTATTATAGTTTCCTTTTTCGATATTCTCTTCCTTATATCTTCGTTTCTTATCATATCTGTCCAGCTGATTCTTAGTACCCTTCGGTAGCATTTCATTTCGAATGCCAGTAGCTTTTTCTTGTCAGTTTCTTTCAGGGTCCATGTTTCCGAGGCGTATAGTAGTACACTGAAGACACACGTTGCTAGGATCCTTAATTTGTTTTTTATTGTTAGTTTCTTGCCATTCCATATATGTTTCAAGGATGCCATTGCTACAGTTGCTTTTCCTATTCTTCTTTTTTATCTCTTCTGAGCAGTTGTTATCCCACGTTAATAGGCTTCCTAGATATTCGAATTTATCCACATTTTCTATAGTTTCTCCTCCTATGTGTATGGCTGTGTTCAAGAGTAGCCCTGCTTGTTCTGCGGCTATTCTCATTGTCTCGATTTGTTTCTGTAAGGAACTGCAGTCTTCGTCTATTAAGTCAATGTCATCCGCAAATCTCAGGTTATTCACTCGTTCGAGATATGCGATGAACAGTAGTGGTGACAGAGGATCACCTTGAGGGTCCCTACGTTTGTACTGAACCATTCTCCTTGGTTCTTCCCTGATCATCGTACTGCTTACTGGGCTTTTTCGTATATCTTTTGTAGTAGGGTCACCATTTCTTCTTGTATACCGTATGACNTCGTATATCTTTTGTAGTAGGGTCACCATTTTTTCTTGTATACCGTATGACCTTAGCATTGCCCATATGACTTTGTGCTTAATTGTGTCGCATGCTTTTTGGAAGTGCATGAAGCAGTTGTATACTTTCGTTTCTTGTCTTTTTGCCTTCTCTGCTATTAGTCTGAGTGTCAGAATTTGGTGTATTGTACTTCTGTCTTTTCTAAATCCTGCTTGTTCTTCAGACAGATGGGGCTCCAGTTGTTGCTTGAGTCTGTGTAGTAGCACGATTAGCAGTACTTTTCCTGTGTGGTTGATGAGGGAGATCGTTCGGTAATTCGCACATTCGCTTAGATCTCCTTTCTTTGGTATTGGTACTACCCAGACAGACATGACCCTAAAAAAATGCGTAAAAACGCGTTAGAAATCTGTAAAAACGCTGTTTTCACGCATCCCTAAAAATAAAACGACGTTTTCACGCACTCTTCATCCGTTTTCCACCGTGCATTCATCGACGAATTTTTTCTCACTAAGAAAATCTTCGTTAACTAACGTTGATTTAGCTCCTTTTACATTGATAAATGCGTTCAATTATGGACACGTTTTATGGAGTTAGAAAATATTTCGTTTTTCGATGTAATTCGAACAAATTCAATTCGTATTAACCCGTTCAACTATGAACATGTTTTATGGAGTTAAAAAAGCTTTCGTAAAATGTCAACGGAACCAGTGTTCGTTCCGTAGACTATCCGAAACCTTCATAGTTTTTGCAATTAACTCTTCACCAGTTTACTATCTATGTCAAACTTTCCTATAGCTTATCAAGGTCCAAGAGTCCAAATCCGTTATCAGTTTTTGTATCCGAGCTTTCATGGGTGAGAAAATGCACCGACCAGGAGTCCAATATTCACAAGTTAGATTTTTTATTTCAACTCCAGTCTCAATTCCGATGAAAGTTTCCTATAGCTTATCGGGGTCCCAGAGTCCACATCCGTCATCAGTTCATACGTTACCCGTTTGGAGTATCTGTTCATATGTTACGCACTTGGGTATCTGTTTACACGTTACCGACTTTGGTATACCCAAGTCGGTAACGTGTAAACAAATTCCCAGACGGGTATCGTCTTGATAGATACCCAGGTTGGTAACGTATGCTAATATGTTATTCGGCGTAGAAAGGTTAACGTTGATGAAAATTGGGAAAACGCGCATTTTGAGTCCTGTTGAATGCATGGATTTATAAATGGTAAAAAGGTGTAGTTTTGGAACGGATGAAAACGGTTTGGTTTTGAAAGCATTAATTTGCGTAGAAAAGTTAACGTAGATAAAAATCGGGAAAAGCGCACATTTTCATGCGTTAAGAACGCGTTGATTTGTAAACAGTAAAAATGCGTAGATTTGTAAACAGTATAAATGCGTAGATTTGTAAATGATATAAATGCGTAGATTTCTAATTGATAAATACGCGCTGATTTTAAACGTGTTCATTACCGTAGAGAAGCTAACGGAGATAAAAATCGTAGAAATGTGCGCTTTTTACGATTTTATTTTCGTTAAAATTTCTACGGGTATTTCACCGTTTTTTCTTTGAATTTTGTCTGTCTGGGCTATATAATAATTTAATTATTATTGCATATACACATATATTTACTTATTAGAAAAACTTGTGCAGTCAATAAAGTAAAGTAAATAATTTTAAAAAAGTTACAATAATGCAAACTATTCCTTTTGAGAAAATTATTGTTTATATTTTTTTTGAATTTTATTACTTTCGATTTTTGAATATCGATGTTTCAGAATTTATATGCCTATATTCTATTCTATTGAAAAATATTCATTTACTTTGTCTTTTGTGAGAAAAACATCTTGAAAATTGTTTTGGATTCTACAATCTCCAGATTAAATTAATTATATAGGAAAGGTTGATAGATATTTTCTGGTGAATATCACATTAATTGTGATGATATTATTATTTGTTTTTATATTAATCGTAACTATCGAATGCGTCTTGTCGTGGTTCATGTGAAACATTTCTTTACGTTCAAACTCGATTGCAAAGAAAAACGCGTCAAGACGCGGTTTAAGTCTTCATATAATCGCATCTAGGTGCGATTCAGAAGTAAAACGCATTTAAGCGCACATTTTTTGGGTGTGAGTGTTAACATGGGTTGAAGAAGAAAGGTGACGGATCCTGCATAATCTGTACAGAAATGTTTTGACTATTATGAACAAATATTAACTTTTAAAATACTAGGTTTTCTTCCTCTCATTTAGTATATTTACTACTGTGTTAAAGTCACGTATTTTCCTCGTAGCAATTTAATTTAAAATTAACTTTTCACGAAGTTAAATTTAAATAAAATCAACTGTAAATTGACACCTTCAAGATAGGAAAATAATACAACGTACGCATATGATAAGCTCATAGATGTTCATAGAAAATATAGACTCTCAAAAAATGCAAAGCAAAAGATAGATGTGTCTATATAGAACTATTTTGATGCAAAAAATCTCATTTTAAACATAACAAGAGCATTAGAGGGGATTCTATATTCTTGCTATAGAATAATCTTTCAGTATATATATTATTCTGAGGAATTTCTAGCAAAAAAAAGAATGTTCTATTCAAAGAATTTTACTCGATACTTTCGAGAGAGAGAAAGATATCTCATTTTATTCTTATACGTTTTCTCTTCTAGTTAATATTCCTGCTAATGCTAAATGGGCACAGAACGGAGTGACTATTGCTGGAGGTCAAGGGCAAGGGAATGACACTGATCAACTCTACTGCCCTCATGGTCTCTTCGTTGATGATGATCAAACAGTGGTTGTTGTTGACTGCTGGAATCATCGTATCATGCAATGGAAGAACGGTGATACAACGAATGGACAAGTTGTTGCTGGTGGTAACGGCCAAGGAAATGGATTACATCAATTGTATGCTCCAACTGATGTATTAATTGACAAACAGACAAATAGTCTCATTATTTGTGATCAAAGGAATCGACGAGTTGTACGATGGTCTCGTCGCAGTGGTACAACAAAAGGTGAAATACTCATCGACAACATCAAATGTTATGGATTAGAAATGGATGAGCAGAGATATCTCTACGTCTCTGACGAAGAAAAACATGAAGTAAGACGATATCAATTGGGTGATAAGAATGGCACTCTCGTAGCAGGTGGTAATGGACAAGGTGGTGGTCTCAATCAACTTAACGAGCCGGTATATCTCTTTGTCGATCGACAACAAAATGTCTACGTATCAGACAAAAATAATCATCGTGTAATGAAATGGAATAAAGGTGCAAAAGAAGGTATTGTGGTCGCTGGAGGACAAGGCAGCGGGAGTGCTCTGACACAATTGTCTTATCCTAATGGACTCTTCGTTGATACGTTGGGTACACTCTATGTAGCAGACTTCGGGAATCATCGTGTAATGCGTTGGACTGAAGGAGACAAGAAACAAGGCACTGTACTTGTGGGTGGAAATGGGGTAGGAATAGGAGCAAATCAGTTCTGCCACACCATTGGTTTGTCTCTCGATCGACATGGTAATCTCTATGTCGCCGATTGGGATTGTGCTCGTATTCAACGATTTTCTATCGAATCAGGCTTGTGAATTGTTTTTTCTTTGTTCGTTTCTTTTTCTATACTTTGAAATAAATGAACAAAAAAAAGAAATCTTCTTTTACTCTTTCGCTTCAAAGAAAAGAAAAAAGCTAAAATATAAAAATTACGTCAAATATTTATTTTCTTCTTCTTTTATTTATTTCTTTACTTTTTAGATGAAATAAGAAATGAATTGATTGGAATGAAAATTTATTTTCTTTTTGCTTACCAGCTAATAGTCGCTCGCGCGACCAAGAACTACCTTGGTGGTGCCATAGAGAGCCAAGGCTCTTCACGTACAGGCATAGATCCAACGTGTATAGAACATACAACAGGAAGATCTATATGCGGCCTGTACGTGCTATGGGCACCAAGATATGCTTGGCCAGTTTCACGCCGATGTATGGAAGGCCTCTGTAGGACGTAAAATATATACATATATATACAAAGTTATACTTACTCTTTTGTATCACTAAAATAGATAATAGAAAAACAATTATATACAATAAAAAATAGAAATAGAAAATTGAAACTAAAATAGATAATAGAAAGACAATCATAATCATATAAAAATTAAAATAAATAAATAAATGGGGTAAAAAGCTGAGACAACAAAAAATAAACTAAAACTAACCCAGGTCAATGATTCCGGAGGACGGATACTGTAGGAACCGGCCGGAAAGATGCGGAAAAATCACCGTATCTGGCCGGAAAGCACTGGAAACTGGAAGCAGTATTCCAGTTGGAAGTTACCGGATTTTTTTCCTGTGGATTCCGGTCAGTTTCCTGTGTTTTCCGGTCAGTTTTCTGTGTTTTACATCTGGAAGTTGATCGGAATCTACAGGAAGAAAATCCGGTAACTTCCAACTGGAATACTGCTTCCACTTTCCAGCGCTTTCCTGTGCTTTCCGGCCGTTTCCCGCCGTACGTCCACGACCTGGGAATACTTACCTATGATATTGAACCATGATCGGTACGAATAACAAGCTAAAATAGTTAAATAATAAAATATACATGTAATAATGTAAGAAGAAGAGAAAAAAGATGGGGAATGATTTCTAACGTTAAAAATCATTACTATTTATAGTCATTTTTGTTATTCGTAAGAAATAGACAATTGGTAAGCAATCAAGTTCAAATGAATTTCATTTCTGTTTGTAAAATTTAACATCCCGATCACTACATAAAGTGGTCTTTTGATGGTTTAATTGACTGTTGTACAAGCGATCGTAAAGATCACAAGCATTCCTAAGAGTGACAAAAAAACAAATTTTGTAATATTGACTAGACCGCTAATTGATCTGTTATGTTGTCGTGTTACATCGTATATGCACCGACAACATTTATTGACGATCTTTTATCTTTGGCATACATTTTTCATTAGAAAATAACGAAAATTCTATATTGAATATCTTCCTGTGATGGTAAGAAATTTTGATTATGAAAACAAATAAATCAACATATATTTAACAGTCAATGAAAACTATTTCAAATGTAGCAAGTTTATTCTTGAAAACACTAAAAGGACACCTTGAAAATTCATCATTGATGATAGAAAAAAAAATGAAATAGTAAATGATAAAATTTCAATTTTGACAATACGAAAAAAATTCTATTTGTGTTAGCCTAGAGCAAGTAGACGTGGTACACGTTTTTCAATAATGTTCACTATTGAACATATCGAAAAAAATATTTCAATCAGTAAAATGATCTCTAATCGCTGTTAGATCCAAAATATCAATGAGAAAACGTTTTGTTCTTCAACATTATCAAAATGAATAGTTACAAGTATTGTAGTTAAATGTGTTTGATTTAATGTAATCGTTATACAATAATCAGTTCGTATCAATACTAACACTAGTCAAATGAAATAAGCACGAGTAGTCCATATCGTTTTTGGATTCACATTATTCATGAATACGTAATATGGAAAATGATTAATTAACTCTATAATTATATTTCAATTTAGTTATATGTTGTGAATTACTGCATTTATATAATATGTTTTCCATCAATGAATATCATTTATTATTGTAATGCCTACAAATTGAAAATTACGCTGGATTGATAACTACAAGGTTGATCGTAAAAATTACCACAGAATGGCATCCCAATCTATCAGCTTCATTTTTGTAGCTTCCGACGAGAAGTGCTAGATAAAAAATCAGTATAATCTTCGTGAAGCGACTCATTGTGTTTTTCATTGTGAAAAAGAATATTGTTTATCCATTTTCTGTTTTTTTCGTATTATGATATCTCAGTCTCGAGAAGCAAGTCGTCTGAAACAGAGTATATATCAATCGGTATATTCTTAAATAAGTTTGTTGATTCATTAGAAATATTTTCTTTTATTCATGAAGTTTTGATTATTCAGTGTCATTTAAGATGTAAGACACTGAAACTATATGACATGTACTCTGTCATTCTCATGATATGGATTTGAATCAATCAGTTGATTTTCAGTACTACCATGAAATTTAGCTATTTGTGTTTTTCTTTTAGTTATTTTTCGGTAAATCTTCTTCAAATTATTTTACTAAATCTAGACAAAGTAAGCACATTACTTTTATCTTCCATGGTATTATCAACATCAAAATGAACTTTCTATTTTAGAAGAAATTAAATATTTTCATTCTCCGTTAAAAAAAATATAAATGCTCAACAATGACGGATAAAACTGGAAAAACACAATCACTACTAACATTCACATAGTTGTGAAGAATCAGCTTGCAAAAAAGAAGCCCATTCGTTTATATTCTCCTTAGGTTAATGGATATTGAGAGTGTTACTCAACGAAAAGTAATATTCAGGAAAACGTAATGTGATTTTAGAGTGTGCATAAACAGATCGCTCTCATTGGAAAAGACGACATCAGCAACCTATTCATCATCTTAATTTTCAAAAGAAAAAGGAGAATTTTAGAAACAAAATGAGTTTATCTTTTGAAACATGGTATTTAAATACATGTTATTTCGCATAGATTCGTACAATTTCGTCATCGCAACACGTATTTAATCAGTATAGATCATTTACCTCTTGGTAAGTTATAAAAGCAAGTTTATTCGTGGAGATGAGAGTACGAAATCATTATTCTATCAACTCTTTTCATATCAGAAAGATTGCTTATTACAAACTTCCCAAGAGATAAATGATCTCTACTGATCAAAATACATGTTGCGATGAAGAAAATATGCAGGTTGATCGCAACATCAACGTGGCAGAGCAACACTTTCTTTTATAAATCAAGATAAATTGTGAGAAACTATGTTGAATAGAGAAACATTCACGTGACAAAAAACTCGACTGTTGATGTGCACTGATGTATAAAGTCAATAGACTCAATGTTTCATTCACGAGAAGGAACGATAATGTAATTTTCTCACAACATGGTTTTTTATAATAGCCAGAAGAAGAAATCATGTGCCCCGGTGAAAAAATGTCATTTGAATTTTTCTGATGTTAAATCAATCAACTTGTTGACTATAGTCATCGAAATTTTCACAACGTCGAGCGTTTAGTAAACTATATTGGATATCTGCTGAAATAATGCGTGCTATGGGAATTGAGAATTTTATTGACCATTCAATAATAATGACACGGATATATTCAGGTCGTGGATCAAGATAGTTAATGAGTTGATTAAACTAAATGATCCAATAAAAAATTTCGTATGTTAATTCAAGTCTATATATACCTGCACATGAATTATTGGAGGATAAGGTTGTAATGTTTGAATAACCGATGTTTCATTAGAATAAATTCTCAAAATAGCTGTTTGGAAAGATTCGGAATAAGAATCAAAGTCGTGTATCATCTATAATGCCAAACTGAAAGTAAATAGCATGCTGTATATTTAAATACTCTCATAAGCATGATCTTATTACTATCACGAATTTTCCCACTATCAGTTGAAAGAACGACTACACGTAGTTTATCATAAATATGTATTGTTCGTGGTCCAACTATAGCAAATAAACCTAGGTCAGCAAGTCCCAAAGGAACGTTTTTTTGTAAAGAAAATTCACTCGTTTGAATATCATCGTCAATATCTCTATACAAAACCTAGTATCTCTTGATTCAATGAACATTTAGAAATAATACGAATACGTTTTTTCATCGAAATCATTTGTTTTAGTTGCATACCATTCATGAACTTGTGTACCGTCAATTTGAATAGCATCATTAATAGTATCGAGTAATTTAGCACCTAAACATTGGCCTTCCACAAGTGATATATTCAAGGGGGGAAAAGCTCATTCCGAGCCATTCGAATGGCTAGGAATTAGTGTCTTGAAGTAGTTCAAACGATGTAAAAGCTGTAAAATTCATTAGAAACATGATTATCGTTATTGTCGAAGCGCTCTGACTAAAGGAAGCCTGTAGGAAATAATATAATCGTTTTCCAATATGTATGAGACTTTATTCATTTTCATCACATTATGTTGTTACTGACACACATGAACATTTGCCATATTCATAATTACAAGTAATTTGTTAACAACGAGATCCATCATTATGTTGATAAAATAATATTTTAATAGAATCAATTCACGATGGAGCCTCCCAAGCTGACCTCCATATATTCCAATGAATTTTTAATGCGATGCGAAGCAGAAGCATTTCTGTAGTCCGTCGCGAATTTTCTTTTGGTTTCTCGACGTACGCATCTTTTTCAACATTTTACGACCCGATGATCTCGAGTATTGAAAATCGTAGAAAACTCATTGAAACGACGGGAGATGAAAATATCGAGATCGAACTTCTGACATATTTTTTCTATTCTTCAATCTGATATTCCGTTCACTCACACATGTGCTTCCAAAATGACAAAAATGAAAGAAATATTTGTTACGAGATAATTAAAGTGACTTCATCAACATATGTTAGCCACTATAGTCTATTCATCTACAGCTGATTTAAGATGATGAATCATGAAGATAATTAATCAATCAATCGAAATCGTTCTTTAAGAATCTATCACTAAGTATCGATAGAGTTTTCGTAGCGATGAAATTCATCGTGTCTACATCAAAATAATCGAACATGTCTTCGAATTCAAGAGTTTTCGTAGTAGATCCGATTTGAGCTTCGCATCGCATTCGTATTCGAGTGAAACTTGAATACCATCTAGTTCAGATATTTTTCCTTTTTCTTTCGAGTTATCAGAAAGTGAAATAAACAAATTTTGATTCGAAAATTTGTTAATAAATAGACAGACTAAACACTAAAACACTATGAAACTTTTAGCAATAATAAATATGTTCTTTTAAATATATTCCTTCAAAAAATGAGTATATATCGAAGAACACATTTGTTATTGCTAAAATTTTCATGGTGTCTAATTGTTCAGTCGGCCTTTGTATTAACAAAATTTCTGAGCAAAGTTTGATTATTTCACTTTCTGATAACTCAAAAAAAAAGAAAATCTGAAAAATGAGCATACTTTTTCAAGAAAGTGCTATCCATTCAAAGTCTTTTGGTTTTTTTACTATAACATCGTGCAGTATCATGGACGAAAGTTCATTGTAGTCCGTGGGCGTGGGTGTGAATGTGAATGTGATTGAGTTACGAATACAGTCACATCCACACCCACACACCCACCCAAAAATTCTTCAAATTATAGTTACGCTGTAGGCAGTTTTTAGCTTAGATAACTTTGTATTTAATCAAATGATCCTTTTATGGCCAAATTTTTGTGATGATCACGAATCTGAAATCATATTTTTGATTCGAGCAATCATATAAAATATAGTCAACTAATCTAGGATCCGATTGAATACAGAAAAATATTCAATGTCAACATTTGCGGTGTAGAGTAACTATTTTCGCTCAACTTTTATCTGAATAAGCAATACTAAAGAAGATGCAGAATTTCAAGGGTGTGGGTGTATGGATGTGACTGTATTCTTAACACACCCACACCCACACCCTCAAGTTCTATCGAATGGTATGTAATTACTAAATCGAAAAATAAATCGTGCTCTATTTGTGGAGGCACCTTACATCATTCAATATAACTAGCAATCATTCGTTTATCTATTTGAGAGATGCCCTAACAGCCTATTGAAAATTCTGTATCGAGAAACGTGTGGAGTCAAATTGGTAGACAATATGTATGTGTGTCTATCAGGTAGATAGGAGAGTTTTGAGAAAAATCACTTTTACTAGGCATCTCTCTAGTATGAAGTTTATTCTTGTGTCCGAAATACAAATATTTATAGTGAACAACAAAAGAGCTTTTTACATGATAGAACAAGCTCGACTCTTTGGAACAGTTGGTGCACTTTGAAGACGTGCTGTTTTCTTTTCATCGTCGACTGGTCTATTTGGTGTTGTTGTCCAATTCGTAACAAGCGTATGTCGTCGAGACATTTTAACTTCCGCTTCTGGTACAATTTCAGTCAAGTGAGAAAGTAATTTTTCGAATTGTTCTCCCGACCATATATCATTACCAACAATATCAAGACTCTTATGCGAGGAGCAAAAGTCAAAATATGTTGTCTCAGCAAAAATAAGTGACATTGGACCTATTGGTGGCCATCGGTTTGTCTCTTCGAGTAATAATGGAACAATTGGTTTCGAAAGTGTATCGGCTAATGACATTTCTCGTCGACAATTGATTGATTTCGTAAATTTTTGAGTAACACACGCAAGTACACATTTAGCACTACGAATTCCAGTACTGATCTTTTTTAATAATGAATCAACACCATCCATTTGAAATATGTCAAGCCAACAACGATAGCCAAACTGTGTCAATCGTTTGTACAAAGCAATAATATCAGCTTGACGATCCCACTCATATGAAATCACTATTTGTGCTTCATTAATTACAAATGGAATATTATTTTTCAAAATAGTTTTGTAATTTTTACCACCATTTGATATTGGTTGTAGAAAAATTAGATTATCGATCTGTGGTACAAACCAATTGTAATATTGTTCAGAAATCATATCCGGATTCGGTGCTACATAATAACGAATTCGACCAAGAAGTTCAACAAATTTGCCAGCTGGTAAATCGTTTTCGCTATTCGATTCATTAATATAGAATGAACTATAGGGATATCTTCCTATGATTTGTTCAAAAGCACTTTCAGATGACCACATTTGATTTTCCATATGCCAAATAATTAATGGTTTTCCTGTATTAACAATTAGTTGAATTTCATGTAAGCATTCATCTGAATGAATGTAAGATGTATTCATACAACATATAAGAATTTTGGCTCCACGTATAGCGCTATCTCGTTTTATAAATGTTTGTAAAGTAGTTGTCTGGTCATTTTTCATCCAACACGCATAGCCGGCTTTCTCTAAACGATGCTGAAGGGCCGGAACAAGGTTTTGGTTTCTACTATAGTAATACGAGAGAAATATTGGCGGGAAACGTTGGATTTCCAAGTTCAAATAATCATGAGTGTCTTCACCGGAAGCTGATATTGCTTCTCGAATCACTTTTGTCACATCTTGTCGACCGATTTCATCTAATATTTTTGCAAGACCATAAATTGCTTCTTCACCATTATGCGTCATGAACCATTCGTTGAGTAAAATCATAGATGGATTGACTTTTAGAGCCAAGTGTCTCAGTTCACTAGTTGAATAGCCGAAATGTTGACCAAGTAAATTCCAATCATTGTCAGCTGGAACATTGAGTAATTTGATAACTTCATGACCCCAGTTTGTAGATAAAAAGTTGACTGTTTTTTCATAGAAGAAGGTATCATGATTGATAACCTAAAAAATACGGCATAGATATAAATTTGCTAATGGTTTATAAGTGATTTTAATATGTTTTTATTATCATACTGCAACAAATACAGTGTACTTACATTTAACTCTTCCGATTTGAACATTTTCATTATATACTGAACGTCGTATTTTGCTTTGAATAAACGCTTTTCTATACGTGCAACTTGTTCTCTGATTTGTTTTATTGATGATTCTTTATTGCGGTACACAATTCTACCATCAATAAAATCGAGTAAAATTCGACATTCAGGATATGAATTGAATATTAAAAAGTCTTTGCGCTTATGTCTCAGAGCCTGTTCATTTAATATGCCAATAAGTTGGCATATATAAACTATTTGTGGTCGAGTATCATTTGTAATTTGAATGTCACTTTTGAGACAATCGATAAGAACTGTAAGACTATCATAGGCTGCTTTTTCGCCGCCGACAATTGTCGATGCAACGAAATACTCTTGAAGACAATCAAAATTGGATGCGTTCTTTTGTTCATTGACAAAATGTACAAGTAAATCATGATAATTATTCAATAAATGAGGACGTGTATTGGTTATAACGGCGAGAACTCCAAAAATGAGAGTAAGTTCATTTGTAGTACCTGTATGATATTTGGTGGAAGCGAATAAACGATCGACTTGAGCAGATGTGATCAATTCTGGATGTGTTTTGGTAATAATCCAAAGCAGTTGCGCCAATGACAAGATACATGATGTATCAGTATTGAAAAATGCTTTAATAAGATTATCGAATCGATCGTGAAATGACTGAGATTGTTTGAGATAGAGCATCTAATGAAAAAAGAATAGATACAATAACTATAAATTTTAAGTCACTTCTTATTATCAATCAGATTGGCAGCTCATCTGTAATTTTGTTTTTAGGAACTATCACTTCAGAACTACCAGGATATCAAGAAAACGAAATATTTTATAACAGCTAGTTATATGTTTATTATAAATATTGAATCAATCACTGCACCATAGAAGAGAATCGCCTTCGATTTTTTTTTAATGTTTTTCGTAATTTCATGTAAATATAGATACTTTAGTTTTGACATGAATACTAATCGAGTTTTATTTATCAAAAATAGGTATAATCAAGTTTTAACAAAAATATAAATTATTATTCTACGAAAATTATCTACTTACAGGAAGCAATGAAGCTTGACCAAACTGTTTATGATCAATGATATTAATCAGAAACTCATCGACATAATTGACAGCAATACTGATCATTTTCGTGCCAATCGAATTCCAAAATAGATCCCACAATCCGAATAAGATCGGATCATTTTTTTCATGAGCAAGTAGATGTATTCGTTTGAGAAATTTCTCATAGAGACCGGCATCGCTTTCATTAGTTAAAGACTGACAAATACTATGCCAGAGTGTTAAAACTATATTATAATCAAATGAAATCTGACCATTTTCATGTTTCAGTGGGCGTATTATTGCTGATAGGCACAATGTAGCCAACTGTTTGTGAACTTCGTGTGGTAAGATTTTGCAAAATTCAATAAATATACTCAAATGTTGTGTCAAACACTAAGCATATATTAAGGCTAGAATGGGCTTACAATTTATTAGTATAAGATATACTTACTGTGAAGAAGCGTTCAATGAAAGGCAATGTACTCTGTTGATTAGAATACTTTTCGTTGACAATAACTTTCTGCTGAAGTACTACGATCAATTGAGTACACGTATCGGTCGTTAAGTGTTGATTATCAATCAAATCTAATGCTGGCAAACCCATTTTGTAAACATGTGCGGGCCATGGCACTTTTCCCATACCATTTTGCATCGACTCAGACCAACGAAGTATAGCTTGTAAAGCTTCAGCATGTGTGGCTTTCAAAATAGTTGGATACACTTTGACTTTGTCAGCAGCTAGCTTAAGAATAGTTTCAAGCTTGTCAAGTTCATTTGAATAGTGCTTCTGATCGATAATATCATAGCTAACACACAATCGAACCAAATCAGCAAAACGTGGTGCTAGTTCTTGCCAATGATAAAATTCACTTTTGTTCAGTATACTCCAAGCACTTGCTGGGGCCTCGTTGGCGTGCAAATCTAGTAGAATGAGAGCAAATTCGAAAAATAGAGTTGCTAATTCTATACTACAATTGCTCTCTCGCAATTTATCTGTTAGAGATCGAAGAATCCCTTTACATAATTGATTACGACAATGGATATTTATTAATGGGCATACGCGAATGAACATGCGAACCAAAGCGTCGATATCGACTTCAGCATTTATATGATCAAGAATATTTTGGAAGAAAAACTTCTCTGCTTCTTCAATATGATCCGTTAAGAGAAGCTTTTCGATAACAATTAAAATTTGTGATAAGTTAATTTTGAAGAGTTCAAAATTGCGTTTATAAGATTGACTCAGTAAATCGATGTACTCGGGTGATATGGGTAGCATCACACATTCTAACAAGTCAACATGACTATCATTCAAATCATCATAGTGGTCGAAGAGTGTTGGTAATGTATGCGACAATATTGATAAAACTTTCGACCAGACACACGACCGATGAGACATACGAGCAGCATGCCTTTGAATAAAAAATAGTCGTTGGAAATAAAATAATTAGCTTTAATGTAATATTTTTCTTTTGGAATGATCACGCAATATATAGCTCTATGATTGATCTCTTCAAAAGTTACTCATATTTATCCCACAAACAAAAAGCGAAATGAATGAAATAATCAACTCGGTAATATCTGACATCTGTAAATACTGACCCTATGGTCCCGAATAATCGTTTATGTTCAACCTCGAAAGAATGTTGTAGACGTCCTATGGTTAATTTCATTAGTTCGAATCTTATCGAACCTGCTCGGCACTCGACTACTCATTGTAATTTAAATCAGCATTTGACAACCAGATTTATCGAGTTTCATTGTAATTTGTATTAACAGAAAAGATTAGATCCTATCACATCTCTACAAAATTCTCAGGGAATAAACAAATGAAAACAATGCCACGACTTTCGTGAATTTGAGGCCAGAAAAATTATTTTGATGAAAATTTTCATGTTCTTATTCCCTGAGTACAAACTATTACATATCAATGAATAAACATACTTCGTACAATCAAATAATTATGGAGAGCGATTGTCATACACGAAGATGCTGAATTAATGTCGACTCATCATTTCTAACGATATACATCTAGTTGACCATAATCAGTTCTGTTTGATATGTTCATATGAACGGAAACTATTGTATATATCTTATAGAGCTTCAAATAACTGTATATGATTAAAAAGAAAGTAGTTCTTTGCGTTAACCATAATGGTCATATATTTCTATTCAGAAGACTTTAGTGAGTACGATATCAATCACTGAAACATCTATAACGATTGTATCTTTACAAAGACTATATTTCCGTTGGTATTATAACTCTTTTTATTTATTTAATATTGATAGAATTGTAAGTAGAAATGAATTTTGTTTTTTGTTTGCTAAAATACAACTCTAATGATAATTTTATTTTTTAATTTATGCCCATCATGCATCGCACAGAGTACGATTTTGATGCATGTTGGTGTCGGCGAATGATAGTGTTTTCTCAAGAATCAGCAATGGGATTTTAATGCGAGCTCTGAGAGTATGACAGGAACTGGAACGATTTTCTACTAACAAGAACATTAAGCGGAAATGGAATGAAATTGCATTGTTCAGGATAGAAATTTAATGCAATTAAATTTCAATTCAATATCTATTTTTTTACAGGTGTTAGCCTACAGTTTTACTTTAGTCTATTTGTACAGAAAGTTGACAATTTCATTCTCTGAGATATCTATTGTATTAAAAATATTCTTTTTGACGATCAAACACAAAAGCTCATAGCTTTCAGTGTTACTAAATTATTGGTTTTATTGTACTGCATATAGATCGTGCTGAATGACTTAGTTGCGTACTGAGTTTGTGTAGAACTATATTACATATCGATGGCATTCATCTTTATGTATAAATCTCAAATACAAGAAATAGAACTTCTCCAATTAACTTTATCTTGTTATTTATTCAGTTGAATAATGATGTGAAAATGTTAAGATGGTATCTTTTTTTACTAACCGAAACAATTGTTGAAAGCTAGATCGTATGGCAAACATTGCTTCTTCCTCATTCAATCTATTGCTATTATCAGAAAATTTCGAAAAGATTTTTTCACTTAGAAATTCTTCCCATTGTACTTGTACTTGTTGATCTACTTCATCGTTTAGAAATGAATGTATTTGAAGACCACGAAAAATTGATTCGATCAAATCAATACTAGGCTCCATTAATAGCCATGCTCCAAGTCTAAATTCATAATAATGTGTTTTGATACATGCCAGATGCCATCGATCAAAAATGTTGTTTGTCTCCAGAATACGTAGTAAATTATGTACAATAAATTCTAACGATGGCCGAGGATCGCCGCAACATTGTTTTATAATCATCTCAACAAATTCATATTTATATGAAATTGGTTCTACTTTAGTCGATTGCTCGTTGAGTACATAATCAATGATGGCATTCAAACTGTTAAGTTTCAATGTCAAAGAATCATCGTTGCACTTTTTGAGATCATCTATAAATTGTATCTGTTGATTTAATGTTTTGGACCATTGATTTTCGAATAGCAGATTATCATGTGTCAATTGTTGAATATATCCGTCCATTAAATATGTATAGTTCTAGCCAGGAGAATTTTGTTACAAATAAGCAAAAAAAGAAACTCTCATCTACGATAGGAAACATACATAGGTTTTAATAGTTGTGACAATAAAAACGAGAATAGAAATAGCATTTTAATCGATCGCATAAGTCTTGAAGGCACTAGAGAAAAAAGAAAAGAAAATTATTGAGTGAATGATAATGCGTTGTATGTATCGATTCTAACATTCATTTAATGTGACTTATGTTAAATGTTCGAGCTGCTTTCAATTTTACTAATCGATCAATTTAAATAGATATGTGCTAATATCAATAAATTTAGTAGTTGACTCAGGTATTTTCTAAAACGATTAGCTAAATCACATTAGTTAGTCTTTCGTAACACTTTGCCAGGTCTCATCTCTAGAAAGTCTACTAAAACATCTAAAAATCAAAGTATAAAACTTGTGATGCACATATAAGAAATGAAGATTTTAATTTTCAACTAACAGCGCATCGATAAAAATGAAACGATATCTCGAAATAGCTCGTTCAAGTGTACTTGAAAAAATGGTGAACCATATATTACTAGATATAATTTTTGAGCTTTAACAAATAACATCTTTTTTCTATTAATACGTACTACTATGATTAATCTTAAATTAAATTAAAATTAATGTAACTCTAGCATAACTTGATTTTAATTAATTTTATTTTTATTTTCAGTTTTTAAATTAAATTTCAATGTGTTTAGTACTTTGTAGAAATAAAGCAGATTTTTTTCTTTGAGTTGTACCGCAAAATATATGTTTACGAATATTTCAGTTAATAACAAAGATGAATAGTGGATGGTTTGTACAGAATTTTTCATTCTAATAACCCAATGCTAACATATAGAATTAAGTTCTTCTTTTATTTCTATTGTATTATTGTTGAAGGCATGTATTTCGAAAAATGCCGATGATTGATGGACATTTAGCATAAACTAACCGGACAACCACACTCCTATTCATAATCAATGAACATACTTTAAAGTTTAAAATTGAATATCAGTAGATTTCCCTAATAGACTATGATATCAAAGTTTGCTGTGAGCCAGTATGTTTTCCAAATCCATAATGAATACTATTAGATGCATTAATTGGTAGAGATTCATCTGACGTCAGAACTTCCTTTATTATTGAAAAACATTACCTAGAAAAAAGATCCTATTCTAATATCGATTGTAAAGTAATGCATATATCGTCGATGAGTTTACTTAGACAAGAGAGAGAGAGCTGTTTTGGCTTTTTCTGATATATAAAAGTAAATTTTTTCGTTTATCATTATTATTCTTTTCTGTTGAAAACAAATTGTTTCCGGTTACTCTTCTGAACAAATTAGCCTGCCGCAGTTTTAAATTATTCATGTTTCATAGTATGTTTCTTATTTTTGAAGATCTCATATATGATAAACTTAGATTTTTTAGGAGCGATATGACATAGCTCTATTTGAATTTGATAGTTGTCTATCACTTTGCTTCATAGGATAGAATTTCCATTAATTATATTTATCTTATTAGCATTTAATTCAAAAACAATAGGCGTTGAAATCAACAAGATAAACATTGAATAATTCCGATGTTTGCTATTCGGACAACTATAATCAAACAAGTAAAACGTTCGTTTTGCCTCGTTCTTTTTTGATTGTTGCTTCGAATGTTCTTCTTTTTTTTTATTTGAATATACAACTAATGTATGAACTCAATATCAATTTTCATAACGCGAGCATTAATTAGACAATATATACCTGAATGAAAGATATTGAGATATAGACTTTCTTTGGATCAACAAAACTAATAAACGTCATTTTGGTATAGATTTTTTTCTTCGCATTTGATTCATCTTTTAATTTCATCGTTAGAAACGAAAAAAAATTGGATTTTTATCTTTAGTTTTTGCAAAAACAAATTAAAATACAAAAATTTTCAAATGCTATTTTTTTAGTTCTAATGCATCATAAATGGCTCATTTTTTAATAGGTTGATTGAATTCCAACTTGTGGTAAGAATAAATACTTGGAAATATCACTCGATAGCATATTATGTTTATGTGAATTAAATAGAATCATCAAAATTATTTGATATGCATGTTGATATTTTGTAAAATTCAATACTAATCCAATGAATACGTATATAGTTAAATCTATATTTATAATAAATATGCTTCGTATTTGTATAAATGAATAAAACGTAGCTAAATATGAAACCATATAAATCATAAACGATAGTTTTGGCCCTAAATAACCTTTAAATTTTAGGGTGTGAAGAAATATAGATATTGTTGTTGCAAAAGCACTAAAAACAAGTAATAAATGAATATGATAAATTTGTTCTGAATCGGCACGATTAAAAAATCGAACATAATTTAAAAAGTATCCAATATAATGTTTTGCCCAAACATAAAAGAATTTTGTCATAAGTGTAACAATAAAAAAGAATTTTCTATTTCGATTTGTTTTGGTTTTTTCTGAATTATATATTGAGTCTCGAAAACTTGTTTTCGGCCATAATTGTCTTAGAATAAAAGGCAAAAATACAAATAAATTATCGATTATGATTGATGAACTAAATAATGAATAAAATCTATCCGAATAATACAGCCATGCAAATAATAATATTAAAGCGAAGAATGAGTTTTCAATAATAAATGGATATGAGAGAGTACCACGATCAGAATAATAACCAGCATCACGTTTTGTACGAGATAAAAATGTAAACGTATAGATAGCTGTTAATGATTGAAGTACACCTGTTAACGGCAAAGACCAAGTCACAAACGAAGTTTTGAACGATTCATAATCCTTAAAGTACAAATAAAATGCATAAGCATACTGAAGTAGATATGATAGACCAGTTAAACGATGGAGAATAAATTTACGCTGAAAGAACAGATTAAAAATAAGTTTGATAAAATAAATAAGTTTAATAAATATTATATTCAAAATGTTAGTAGAATATGCATTATTTGTAACTGGAATATGTGGTTCAAGAATGTTTGTATACGATTTAGAATCCATTTTTGACGAAAATTGTGTATCGATTATATTGGTAGACATTGTTGCAACACTATTACAACAAGTATTAATAAATGTGCATTGAAGTCAAATAAAATATGTAATATAACTTCAGCTACAAGTTATGGTTGCTTTTCGTTTATAATATATAAGGTGTTGTTAGTTATCTTTAACTGTGGCTTATCTTTACATGTTCTTTGAAGGGTATATTTTTTCGTTTTAATCATTCAACAGAATACGAAAGAAAAATGTCTGACTACACATTTGCCAAAAATTTTTATTTAATTCTTCAAAACGAAAAAATATCTGACTCGACACAACAAGGATGTAACACAGATGACAATAGTTGACTGATGTTTCACAAATTTCTCCTTGTTCTTGTTTTTTTTTCGGTTCGTATTTAATGTACAACGAACGGTATTATCTGAATATTCTCAGTATGAATCATGATTATGTAAGCTTCGTCGAATTCATTCAATTATTTTTCTATTTTTCAAACACTATACCAAATATTCCATTATCACTGAAAAATAATGTTTTCACTGCTCGTACCTTTATCATTTCGTTTTCTTGTTTCTTTGTACTAAATTTATACGTTTAGCTGACTCTTGACGATGTGATCTGTCTTTTTGATTTTGTGATTTATATCAAAATGAACTTGTTTCAAACCTTTATCGAAGTGTGCGTGTGTGACTTTGAACTTTTGTTTAGTCAATACAAACCTGGATGATACTATATGAAAGTTTAATAATTATATCAAATAATCTATGCTTTTTCTGTACTAAATGTGAATAAAACTTGTCAAGTAAAATTAATATTCTTTTTATATTCATGCTGATTGATGAAATGTTAAATATATTTTCATACAAGAATCAATAGTCCAATATTCTGTGAAAATGTATTTTTTGATTGATTACATCGCGTTTTAGCTCCAGTTTGATTCATAAATGTGATTTGAAACGCTAAAACAAAAAATCATACAATCATTTGCGTCAACACCAGCATACTCAAGAAGTTGAATCGATCGATTTCAACAATTTTCTCTAAGAGAAACATAGTTCAAACTGACATGCTCCGTTTCTAAGAGTAACTAACATATCATTACAGATTCTTTAAAGAGCATTTTCAAGCTAAACATTTTTTGTAATCTTTTGAATAGCTTCATCCTCTTCTGTTGTCACATGTTATGAGATAAGATAGTAGAAGCATATTACTTCTATACTTTTGAGAGGACACAATGCAAAGGTTATATTGCGAACATGGCGTGATGTAAGCGAATGATAATGCGCTCAAGTCCTTGTGATAAACATTTTTCTTGAATTGTTTCTTTGACTTGACAATTTGAAGAAGCTCGTATGATTTATAAATTAATACGGATTCTAGTTAAAATAAGTAGTACGTATTAAGTGTTGCCATGCGAGCCGTTTCGACGAGTATTTTGTCAAACAATAGAAAAAAACTCATTGATGAACGCTATTGCTATCTGATCAGTGCAGCTAATGAACAAATTGAATGTTTAAATCATATATAACCGATTTACAGTATCGTTTACAAACAGAGATATAAACACATGAGAAAAATAGAGCAAGCAAGGTTACAGTCAAAAGGATACTATTGTGGAAACCAGGCTCATCTTAATACTGAAATGCCATAGTTATTATCGACGAAGATATTCATGTGAAAACTAATGATACTAAATACTCGGCTACGATTAATAAATGTTCAGATTAATCAGCAGTGTCCAAGGACTGAGAGATAGGAATTCCTAATGTGCCGAGGAATTGTCAGTGTCTGTGTGACAATTCCTAGAAGAAATGGGAATCAACTATAGGTTCCCTCACAGTTCCTCCATTCACGAAAGTCGCGATATTGCTGTTTTAAAAATAGTTTTTGCATGAAATCATTGATTCTCGCAATTTTGCAAGAGAAAATGAGTGTAAGAACAAAAATTATCGTGAATATTCCATATTTTTACCTTTAGTATGCAAGGAACTGTAGGGGAGCTGATGAGGAATTCCTAATCCTCACTCCTTGGACGCCCCTCATTTCCACAAACTATCGCTTCTCGTTTCTATCCTTTTCTTACTTTTTATTAACTATTGCAAATGTCATTCACTCCTATCCAAATGAAAGAATATTTTCTTTAAAATAATTTCTACGATTACGTTGTTCATTGGATTTCGATGAACAAGTGATAACAACATGGAAAGGTGGTGTTTATTTCCATTTGTATCAAATGTAACCGAATGATATATTTGATGTTATTGGAATTAATATTGCACGATGTTTGAATAGTTCAAATAACAAGGAAATCATTTTAACAACGAGAGAAACTAAATTGTATATTGATGCTATTACAGGTGTAAAATTAAATAAATGGACAAATCCTTACACGAGTGACACTGAATCTGTTATGCATGTTACCAATGATCCTGTTCAAAGAACAATATTGACAAATGGTTTTTTCATAGAAGATTATTTAACAAGTGAAAATCAAGTAGTACTACCAATTGATGTTTATCGATTTGATCCGAATCCTTTATTTAAAAATGAAACATTAAGACACTATTCGAAAGAAAATTTTAGGAAGCAGGGGAATTTTTCAAATTTTTTACAACGTTAAACCAAATAATCGATGAAAATTCAACACAAATTAATTAAATGGATTGGTCATGGACACGAATTTCACCAATTTTGTCATGGATGAATATGTCAACATAATACAATGGAACTATGATGTTTTCAGCTCAAGGAACAAAACTTTCTTCTTTAGGTCAAATAGATCAAGTTTTATTTAAGGAAATTATCGATTGTATTCCAATATATCAAAATGCACCTAGCTGTCAATCAGATGTACCAAGTGAAACAAGTTGGACTTATTTAAAAAGATATTTCTCGGGTACAAACGAATTTCCAATACGTAAATCGAAAGAAGATATTTCATACGTTCATAAGTAATGCTTTTCTTATTGTTAAAAATATTTTTTATTTTAACACATTTATCGAAATAGAATTAAATTTTATGCTTTGCACACAAAAAAAAATTCCCTGTTTTCTTTAATAATACAACTTATTCAAATATAGAAAATGCTTTTGCCTTAAGCATAATGTGCGCGTTACAAGAGTATGGTATCTACTATTTCTTTTCGATCTTGTGCTAAAATAACGTAGAATAGCTACGCTTTATCTCGTTAAATGTCTATATGATTTGTTGATGTGGTCCTATCATATTTTGATTTAAAGACGACAATTCAAAGAGTAAGAAAAAAGAGAATACATCTTAACAGAGCACATGGGTTATATGTATAGGACACAGGTATGCAACATTAGACGAGCTATGATTCATTTTACTTATTTCAGTGCAATCTATTTGTTTTGGTTGTGGCAATAACATCGATACCTAGTCAAACAAGAGTTCGCTTTCATACATGAAAATATGCGTTTCACAGGCAGAATAAAAAAGAACCGTGAAAAAAACACATGTGGCACTCAAGAGTGTCAGATTCGCTATCTTTCACTAAATAAATATTATTTTAACTTGAAAAGCCTTAATTTACGCATGATTACACTTTTTTTTTATCGATTTTATGTAACTGTGCAATAGAATAGAGTATCTGGAAAGCATTACAAGATGCGTGAGTAATAACTCGTCTCAAAAATAAACATATGCATACTCCCTGTTTCTTTCTTTCTTTCTTATTTACAACCAAAGAAAACATCAGTACACAACTCAGTATAGAGCATCGTAGCGAGCGTATAATTCATAATTATATTGTCACTATACGGAGCAGGTAGGAATCAGCATACTGATGTGAAAGCACACATTCTCACGTGTTCAAGATTTTTTATCAGTGTTAATGGTTATGTGCATGTATAATTTTTACTTGATAAATCCAAATCATTTACTATATGACAAATTTCCTAAGAACCCCATTAACATGATAAATCACTATTATTCTTCGATTATTTCTATGACCTTAACCATCAGTAGGGAATCCTATGTCTCAACAAATGACTCATGATGGTTTCATTTATATATATATATATAATATAAATAATAATAATCTCCCATAGGCTTATCGCCCGTTGGGGCCGGCGCTAAAGGGTCCACAAGCAGCCAGGTTCTATCGCGTTTTCTCTTTTACAGACGACGGTATCTGCACCCCATTCGTCCAACGCTTCCCCCTTAATGATTATGGGTTGGCGATCATCATAGGATCACGTGGCCGTGACATCTATGTTGAAGTTATTGTTTTGACTCTGCATACTGACTAATGATATAATCGATACGCTATCGGATGAGTCATCCGGAACAATTAGCCATTAGTAACTTGTTCAGGGTTATTCCATGATTGGTGATACTGTGGTTTGAACACAGTACATTGTGAATATGTGTCGAATAACATATCCACTCAACCACGGCGGCTTTATATATATATATATATATGAGTGAATCGCAACTTTTTTGTACAATTCAATTTTTCAACCTTTTTTCCTGTATCTTCAGTTCCTATGATCCGATATCAAATTATTTTTTTTTCTCTTCACACTCCGTAGTGTCTTTCCTGTTACCACAAAAAATTCAGTTCAATGTATCATCACTCGACTGAGATATGAGAGTTGGAAGCCCCAAAAACCATTTCTTTTAGATCCTTCATGGGTATAAAATGAAATTTCTAAAGGAATGAAAGAAGAGAAAGCAAAGCGTGAATAGTACACTTTGTGCAGAATTTTATTCTCTAACCACCCATGCGATTCACTTTTGCTTTTGTTTATTTGTTCCGGTTCGATTTTAACGAAAGAAGATTTACAGTCAAAGTGTAGACTCAGTTTAGAATGATCGTAGAGCGGATAAGGAACACACTTTTCAAAAAAATAAAACGACTAAAAGATAGAGCGTAAAAAGTAGTACAAAGTTATCTGAAAATAATTGTGCTGAGCTTTTTTAATTAGGTTAGAATGACACAAAGCTTTAATTTCACTCACACTGTAGACCCAGTTTTTCGATATTGTTTTGCTTTTTATTTCTAAACGACTTGAAGAAACTCAATCAGACTGTTACAGAAAGATGCAGCGTGAAAAACTAAATAGGAAATATCATCGGTTGTGTCTTTATTTTTAGGGAAATTTTTACATTATACCTCAAAATGTAGACCAAGTTTTCTTTTTAGACCCAGTTCTTTTTTGTAGACTCAGTTTCTGCTTATCGGTTTACAAGCTGATTTCTTAGGGAAAGCATTACTACCACATAAGTGTGGATGTGTATGGGTGCTCACGCCCCACACCCTCTCAGACAAATCGACGTTTTTAGGTTTTTCGAAGAGATACGCATATTTTGAGATTTTTCGCGATTGTTTTTCACGTACTTCGATTCCTGTCAGCGTCATTAGCTTACCTGAATTGAGATATATCTAATGATATGTCACACATGGGCTTTGGACTCATATTTGGCACAATTTCTCTTAATAATGTTTTTTGTCGAAAAACCGAAGTTGAGACTCCAATATCTCAGCCAAGACGAATCGGGTAGTTTGGAAACTTTCACCACAGACTCAGTGAAGGATGAGGAACAAATGTACGATTTTTTTTCTTTAGAAGCACTTTCATTCTTTTTTGTTAATTGTACAAAAAAGTTATGATTCACTCATATATATATATATAAGTTTGCAGTGCGCATGTCTATTATAAATGTTTAATATTAATAAGGTAAACAGCATTACATTCTGTGGTACTAGCATTGTATATTTCGAAGACAGAAATCGTGAGTGTAAACTTTAAGTCGAGACGAGATTTCACAGTTCTCGCTCATCTCATACCCAGGAGAGAGAGAGAGAGAGAGAAGGGAAAGGTCCAATAATTATGGAACTCATCCCGTTTCAAAGTAAATAGTTAAATAATTAGATTATAATCGACTCGAATTCGATCGAGAATCCGTGGATAATCGATTGAAATGTATTGCATTTGATAATAATCGATATCCATTGGTTTTATATAGTAGATAACTATGCAATAGACTACTAACAAATGTTTTTAATCTTTATACTTGTACTGTTACACTTACATTCGAACACATATACGATTATCACCAAATCTCTATATATATATATAACCTAAAATCTGTATCCGTATTAATATGTGCGTACATTCTTCACGTTAAAGTTACTGACTTATATTGATGTGCTCACAAAAGCATCTTTTTGGTGAGTCAATAAGCTTCATTGCATTCAGCACATCTTTCCTTATTTAATTTGACTTTCACTATATGCTCATCTAATTTGTATTTAAGAATTTGCTAACTACATATAATACTAACATGTAGGACTATGATTGAATATAAACATAATATTGATATACAGTAAAAAATCTATTTTGTGAATATCATTGAGACCATTGAAAAGCGTTCCCTAGACGGAGGTTATCAAGAGGTTATGTTTGTTTCACTGTGATACGAAGAAAAATCTTTTAGAAAGCCTACTTCTATATTATTTCTAAATAATTTTCATGTAAAATTTAGATCCGAGTCTCTCTCTCTTAATCATTTCAATATTCCGCGTTTAGATTTATAGGAACTTTTATGAAGAGTCAAGTGACATATACATGTAGATACCCTATTTTCGCTGTGATAAACTATTCTCCTTGTTACTAGTTATTATAAACTACGTGTGTATTTCCTTGCAAAGTAAACTCAGATCATGGTTTCATTCTTTAATATACATACATATATATATATATTAGTTGAATCATATATAACATGCTCTCATAATAGAAACTTTTCTGTATATGACAACGCTTAATTATCTATATTAAATTAAGTGATTTTGAATTGAATAAATTAAAAATTACTTCAGATTTGAATTACACCGTTCATCGGTACATATTATTATTTTCTAGATGCAACCAAATTAAAAGTAAAATAACGTCTATTATTTGATAAACTCTTTTAGTCCACTATCGGTAACGTCAATAAGTGATTTTTATTATAATCGATTGAAAATGGCGTTGTCGGATGACAAGAAAGAAGTGTCACATGAATCTGAGAATGTGATGAACAATATGCAAGACATAGTAACAACAGCTAATATACATAGTGATCACGAACAATTGGAGGGAATTCGAGCGGGTGCCGTTGTTCGACCAGAACCTCTCTTTTACAGAAAAACAAGGCTTATCATAGATACACATTACAATCCTGAACATAATATACTAAGAAATGGCCTAGAAGAAATAGAATTTCAAAATATTAAACTTATCTCATTGGACAAATTATTTGACAATAAGCATGAAGCTTTTCTTGGTTTTGGACTACCGAATGTTTATTTGACTATTCCGAATGAAGCTGGTGATGGATACAACAAATTTGCTGCATTCATGCTTTGGCGTCAGAAGAGCGCAATCCTCGATACGAAAGGTCGTGTACAATCAGGATTTTTCATTCGTTTTCGAAATCTACCACAAGATGGATTAGAAGCACTTCGGCAAGCCATGTCAAAACATTCAAATAGTCGACATGTATCTTGTGCTTATGCCAATGCGTGTGTGTTAAGTTCCGCTGGGTTTACTTGTGATGGTTATGATTTGAGTAATAATTTTGGTGCTCGTTCATTGTTTCAAGAAATTTTCGAGAATGGTTTGGAATATAGAGGAGAACCACTCGTTCTTGATTTCATTCGTACAACTCGTTTAACGCTCGAAGAACATTTCCATGAAGTACGAAAAAAAGAACTCACTAGTTTAGGTCGGATATGTAATAAAATTGTCAATGAATGTTTACCGTCAAAAAGTCATGTTCGTGCACCCTTACTCGAAGCAATAGATATTCCAGAGAAACCAACTGTTGTTGGTAATTGTGGTTCATTGACACGTTTAGAAATTTCTCATCCGGGTTTCTTTGGAGCAACAATTAGAAGAGTAATTGGATCGCATACACTCTTCAAGTTAACTGCAAATAAAGAGCAAGTCGACATTAATAATTTTCTACCACAAACACTGCGAGCATTTGCAATGAAAAATCCGAGTTTAATGACTCGAATAAAGAAGTTCATACTTTTCTCTCGACCCGTTGTTACCATAATACGAAGTCAACTGGCTTCGTGCTGGGATGATCATGGCTATTTTTCTCCAGGACCGCTAGCATCTATGATGAGTATTCACACTACAGCAGAGCCACATCCGTACAATATCGTCATCACTGGTGATTTTCTCATCGGTATGCATAATAGTCCGGGCTTGAAGGCAGTAGATTGGATATTATCAAAACACGTTCTCATATCTGGTTATGACGACGATGTCCGTTTTGCAGGTGAAGCTTGGATGCAACATCAAGAAGAAGGTTTGATTCTGCATATATCGAGCAACTCTGGCACTTATCAGCCTAATGATGAGCAACTTGAGAATGCTGGAAAATATGTTTCTGCTGCATTACCCGGCCTTAAAATAGAGCTTCATTCAAATACAATCACACCTTCATCAATTACTTCGAAACCAGTTCGTGAGCACGTTAACTATTTTACCATCAAGCATTTACTAATTATCATATTAGCATGTATGATTGGTCTTTATTTCTTTGTATCCGGAAAATCCAAATGAGTCTTATGAAGAAAAAACGTGACAATTAAGAAAGTTTGAACTGTTAAATGTACATAAGAGCACTCATTCTATTTTGATTATATCATTAATTTAATAAAAGTAGCATTTAAAAAAAAAGAACTTTGAATTGATACATATTTGAGTACTAAATAAATTTTGTTTATATCTAAGTAAATTGGGTTTAAACAGCCGTGTGTATCCATAAATCGATAATTCTTTATGAAACTGAAAATCCAGATAGTTGAGTATCATGGGATGGGAATTGTTTTGGCTGGGTGAGCGTGTTTTTGATCTATATAAATCGTTTACTACTATAATGAAGATTCTATAAATATGCACAACGATTTTATTTATTTGAAGAAGAAGTATATTCTCAATAAGAGAAATTCGATTTTATTTCCGTTTAATTTCAGTTTTATGAAAATTTTCTTTTATATTCCCAGCTTGGGTTTAGAACAAAAACACACCACATTGTACTTTTCTTGTGCTTACTGATACAATATTAATTAATTATCACACTCTAAACACAATATTCAATATGATTGTTGAGCTCTTTTCTTTATAACTATTTTGTTCTCTCTTACATGTAAAAGCAATAAATTTCTTAAACATATTTGTATGAAGTCTTGAAAATGTTTCATCTGAAATCATCTATGATATAGATAATAAGTAAATTTGCCATCAATAATCAAAAACTGAGTACTTCGATTGACTTTATTATCGTACTCTCTTCAACAAGTAAAGGAAACGATAAAATAGCAATTGAAATTGATTATAATTTCTTTTCGAATGATCGTAAAGAAGAATTATCAAATTTCTGAGTATAATGTTAAAGTTATTTTAAGAGAAATGTGTTATCAAAAGTCAACGATAGCCATATGATCAAAGTATCAAGTGACTGCTAGTATCCTTTTTCATGAATAATATATTGACAAGTTTTGTGGCAAACTCAAATCATTCTATTGCCATATATAGATCAACGTTAATCTTTACTTCGAATTAAGAAAAATGCTGCACATATATGTTTATAGGAATTTTCTATAAACGGCTACGTAAATATAGGATCAACAGGCATTAGAATACTAGAAATTTGATAGTATCAAATGGAAGATAAATTTGACGTGAAATGTAAAATCAAATATGTGAATATTCGTGTTACCAATATTAAGTGCATCGCATTTCTTTCACACTATGAATTGAGCTATTCTATGATTTCCGAATATTGATATATACTATTATCTATCTAGCTGACGTCCAATTTTCAACATTTACTGACTTAATTGAACAGATAAAATGTTGTGAATTCTAGTTCTCATCACACGTTTATGCGCTGAAACACTGATATTAGGTTTGGTCATTTATGTGTACTGCAATTCTAGCAAGTATGGATTCAATACGAGGATCAATGATCGTGGCAGTATCGGTTCCAATTCGATTCAGCACATAGGCAAAAGTAAGATTCTTTGAAGGTGCTGCAAAACCAATACTTCCACCAGCCCCTAAAATTTATATCAATCGAGTTTCAATCATCGTTCGACTGCTACTTTGTTTCCTTACCATGATGACCAAATACGCCAGGTCCAAACTTTGGTAGAACTCGATCATACCGATGAAAACCCATGGCGAACGACGAATAGTACTGTAGTACAAGATCGATTTCATTCAAAGGTGTATTTGATTTCGTTGCAAGTTTCATCATCTCTTCACTTAACAATTGGTGGCCGATTCCTTCCTCAAGATTACCAATAAGTGACGCATAAATGCGTGCAATTGACTTGGCATTAGATAGACCTATGGCTGCCGGTATCTCTGCTTGATGTATACGAGGATCATTCCATATTTGAAATAGATCCTTCATGGTTTGATTTAGCATGTTCTTTACATCAGGATGAGGAACCACTGGTGATACACGGTATTGTATTTCGGATGGTAGACCAATATAGAATTCTATTTGTAGTGGATTTACAATTTCATCTTTGATAAATTGCCCAAAAGATCTTTTCTTTCGATCAACACGGCGAACAAGTTCACCTGCTAGCCAACCGTAGGTAACTGCATGATAACCATGAGTTGTTCCTGGTATCCATAAAGGTTTCTCTTGTTCTAGTGTATGAATCATAGCTGTCCAGTTAGCATATTGATCGATTGGAGAATCTACATAGGGTAGTGCAGCTCGATGTGACAGTATGTCTGCTACTGTTGTATTTTCTTTACCATTCTGCCCATATTCTGGCCAATACTTTGTCACTAATTCTGAATAGTCAAGTAAACCTTGTTGTACACAAAGTGCAGCGGCTACAGCCACTATTCCTTTGGTAGTTGAAAAAACTAATTGTAATGAATTATCATCATACGGTTTGGTTTTTGATTCGTCATACCATCCACCTCGAAGATCAACAACTGAACGACCATTATGATACACCGATATAGCTGCCCCTAATTCTTTCTCTTGAACAAAATTTTCTCGAAACAAATCAAGTACAAATTCCCAACCGTTGGTAATCGATCCATGAATGTTATAACCAGTCACATTATAACACTGCACTACTAAAAACCATACCGGTAGAAGTCGTATAGAAGAGATCATCTTTTCTTTAACAATAAATCAAATTTCAAAAGAACCACGAACCAATGAGAAAAAACAAAAATGTGTTTCACTATCATGTCCTTTTAAATAAATAACAGAGATAATAGCTAATAATAATAACAACAACAAGGATTAACCAATGCAAATATCATATAATAATATTATCACGGAGCTTAAGTGAGTATAATCACATGCATACCTACAGCTTTCGTGTTCGTAAGTAATTCATAGCAACCAAAATTACAGAAAAATGTTAATTTTGAATACCAATGATATAGATTAGCTATCTTGGCACAATACAATCCTGCAAAACTTCTGCGTTTATTGACTAATAGCTCAGGTAAGTCTCATCATAAAATTAATCGAAGTTACTAAATAATAAATTATACAAATAAAATTACTACTGATTCTCTTGGTTTTTATCTCATAAAGACATCCACGAAGTCGTATTAGTGAAATGCACAATTAGCTGCTGATTGAACATGATCGATGTATAATATTTTCGTGCATACGTCCTGAATATTTCTTTTATACATCTTCAAGTTTCTGAAATCATTTTCACCAATAAATTATTTCTCTTGTCTTTCTGATGGATATAAACAAAACGATAAAATCTTGATGGGGCAGTTATGTGCATGAGAAAGATATTGGGTATGATTTTATGACCAAAATTTTTGGATTTGCAAATAAAGAGCGATCAAGGACAAAAACCAACATAGACAAAAGAGCAAAAGTCAAACTGCCTCGCAGCTAATGCTGATTTGTTCAGACAAATATTTTCTGAATCATACTTTTTATGAGAAGTCATGCGACATATGAAAGTTATTTTATAGTTAAATGTATACAAAAGATATATTTCATTGTCGAGGCACTGATGAACGGATATGATTCATAATTATAGTTTATCAATTTTACTAAGAAGTATCTTTGTTAACATTTATCAAACTAAGATCTTGTCAAAAAATTCATAAATTCAATCGTCATCGTTTATACGAGTACTATTTGAAGTTCGATTATGAATTTAATATATGCAAAGCACAGCTTTCGTATAATCACTTGCCATCTTCATGATCTCTGCAGTTGTGAAATTTTAGAACCAATAGAAATCGGATAAACGAATTTTTTTTTATTGTTGTAAGTGTGATTAATTAACATTTTTCTTCGTTTTTTATCATAGAACGTATTCTTTTTCTGCTTTGTACAGAAATAATATACGTATACGATAGTCATTTGTAACAAGATCTTACAATGGTATATCTCTCACGTCTCATACAAGTAAGCATATTTTCTGTTGTAATATGCCAAAATATTGTCGTGGAAAAAAGAAACCAATAATGATTAAATCGCAAAAACTGCGTTTCAACGTCTCCATTTCAACGACTAGAAATTCTAGAAAAAAAAACCTAGTCCATTCATAATACTAACGTATATCCAAATCTTGGAAGAAAGTTGGGATTACATTTACATAAACTATTATTTTGCTCTTGCATATAGTCAGCAAAAGATCACTCGAACTATGTTCAATAATCAAAACATATAGAGACTCAATTGAAAATAGATGGAATGATCATTTTTCGAACACCCATGCCTAAACCGATTGAAAGAGATATAGGCATATATGAGTATTTTCACAATGTATTAGAGTTTCATTGCATATTGAAAATATTAATATCTAGATCCAATAGATTGATTATGCTTTTTCCATAGTGTTAATTTTGAAGTCATTGAGTTGTTGTATTTGATCAAACCAAAAAGAGCTCTGTTTTTAGATTTCATAAATCAAAACAGTTTAAATCTAACGTCAGTATCTAAAAGATTACACCGATTTTGAAATAGCATACTCAAATGAGTTAGATGAGCCTAAATTTATCCGCTAATCAATACTAAATGATAATTGTAACTGAGAAAGAGTTGTCTTGTAGGATGGATCAATATGAGATGAAACTAATCTTATTTCAAAAACGAAACACCAGTAGAAACCGTTATCGGAAAGACCAAAATCCCATTGATATATAGAAAACAACAGGGATCAAGAAAATTCTAACATGCTTCAAGGATTTTTATTGATTAGTAGTGATTAACTTTACATAGACACATATCAAATCATGCGAAGCAAAATCGAAACGAGAAATAGAGTAATAATTAGTCACTGAACAATCTATCTGAAAATAATAAATCATATAGGTTCATTAGATTGACTTGAGGGTGTTACAAAATAAGAGAATAGTGGTCAATGTAAAACATCGACCAGGTCCATGGAGAACCGTTGCTGTACATGTGACTGTTGAGTTGAATTCTGTCGTTGATGAACTCAAAGTTGATGATATTGGATTTGTGAATTGACTGCCCGTGTTCGTATTGATCCAGCTTTGATAAGCTGCTATGCGCGTGTATATGCCAGCAGAATTCGCTTCAGCGCATCCGATGCCATTGCTTGTTGCACCTACTAAAACCCACTGATTGCTCGTTGTAAAAGCCATCAGAGGACCACCCGAATCGCCTTGACATGTATCTAGCATAGCAAAATGAAAAACACCGCATTCCAAATTAATCAAACATAATGCAGGGCATTTACCTTTGCAATGAGCAGCAGCACAAAATTGATACAACCAATTGTTCATCAAAGGAGTACATGTTGGTGACTGTCGATCGACTGTTTGCAGTGTGACTTGTTGAAGTGTCGATGAAATAGATCCACCTTCAGATAATCGTCCCCAACCTACAGCTACTACCTAAATTAGGTGCGATTTATCATCACAAAGAAACTTGAAAATTTACTGTTGTTCCAGCTGAAGGCCATTCACCAACTGACAATGTGCTAGCACTAACCAATGGAATACAAATGGCACTGATGCGTGGATCAGTCATATCTAAAGGAAATGACAATTGAAGTAGTGCGATGTCATTAACATAGGTGGATGAACTGTAGCTTGAATCTGCAATAATTGTTGACACTGATCGGGTCTGACTGGCTGTCAATAGTAAATTAGAACCAGCGTAAACAGTGACTTGACTGGCGGTCACTCCCGAGACGCAATGAGCAGCTGTGACTATCCACGAAGCTGCAATGATTGATCCGCCACATAATGCATTTCCAAGACGCAGCGACACAGCCCATCCCCAAGTCTGCGAAGCAGCTGTCTCTCCGCCCACAATACGTGACAATGTTGCCGCACTAGTTGAGCAACCACAAGAAGAATTTGAATTACATGAATAGGTTGTCGCAGAGTTCAATTTTACAAAGGTCAGTAAGAAAATTAAACCTCGTATTTGCGTCATTACGATTTGTTAGTATTGTCGAGCGCAAAAATAGATTAAAAATAAAGGAGAAGAAAAGTAAACCATTTATAGTGAGTCGCTCCTATTCTCTATGAATGCTTATTTTTCTATTTCTTCTATTTTTTAAATCACGCAAAGAAAGAAAAATATTTTTTACAATTGTTGCATGATTATTGACGCACTTAACAAGTTTCACTATATTTTTCTCGGGCATTTTTGACAATACATGAAAACATTTCAATATACAAGAAGACGTTGGTTGTGCCCTTGGCTGATTGATTCTTACTGAATACTACATTGTTTTAGCTCAGATTAACAAATATAATGATAGAATAGAAGTATTTGTATTTCTATCGATGTAAATTCTCATAGAGTTTTGAGTGGCGGCTGAAAATCGACTTTCTAGTCGAATATTCAAAATCATAAAATAATATCAGTCAAAGATACATCGATTATGACAGTCTACGGCGTGAGATTTCTTTCTTCATGATGTTCTATAGAGAAACACAGTTTCTGGTATTCTCTCGATTCTTGTAACAATATTAGACGTGACAAAATATATGGCATCGATCCATTTACATTCAGCAAGTAATTCTTCGTCCGAGAATTTAAGTTACCTATCTGTTAGTGTAGTTTTTAGCATTGGAGTACTTTCTAAATCTGACAGAACATCTTCTTTTCATATTGCGTTCTTAATAAATTCTATTTGTCTCAAAGCAATGCTCTCAACACTTGTTTTGGAATTTCAATCAATCATGAAAGTAATCAATATAATTTGACAGCAATATAAAATATCGATTTTCAATTACAGAACGACAAGCAAAATCAGTGTAAATTCAATTTTCACTAACGCCATTCACTCTGAACAAAAGAATAATTCTTCGCACTATATTGGAAAGAATATTATTTTTCAGTAAGACTTCGATAGTACAAATGATTTGACTAGTCCGTACAATTAATTTAACTAGCAATGTTAATTTGAATTGTGAAAAACAGCCTTGCTTTTTTTAATGATGGCAAGACACATTAACAAAAAATATTGCCTTGTTTACCGAAGCACGATATGGCTTTTTGACTTAATCGTTGACGAACTCAAAAACACTCTCAGTTGATTATCTTTTTGTGTACGATAAATCGCAAGTTCAACTGTAAATAAAACAGCTAATATCTCAAGGTTCATTTGCCTACAAATAAAATAAATAATTGCATGTCACTTACGTTGTCGGCAAGGAACGCGAAAATCGTGAGAAGTTTTTTTTCCTTTCATTGTTTGTTTTACGGAGAAAAAAGTTTCGATCGATTCCTCACTGAGAGGCGAGTTTCTTTTCAGATGAATATGCAAATCAAGTTCATTGATATTTTATTATGAAAGACAAAAGTTTTGATTTTTCATGAACTTCGGAATATTGTCGATGTTGTATATTGAACTTCAGTTCGTTCAATAAGTCAAAATTTATATTATTGGTGAAATACTTTTACAGTTTCGCTGGCAAGGAAAACTTTTCTAGTTAATAAATCATTTATGATATCATTCATCTACAAGTCACAACAAGAACACTAGCTTGGAATAGATTCAAAATGATGAGTACTGTAAACATAATTTAAATATTTGCTGGAAACATGAAAATTTTTGTATATTTTGCCTGCAAGAATCGAGTCTTTAAAATAAAATAAAATTTTCAAATTTATACATGAAATGCTGCTAAATAAAACCCCTTGGTTATTTTTAAAGCTAGATTAATTAAAATTTTCGTGCGAATAAAATTTTCAAGCCCAAATACAAAAAGAAGAATTCTATTGGAATACTAACGTTCACAACAGAAAAGTGTCTATTGTCGCTGGTGAATAAATAAAATTACAAGTAACGTATCAATTGTAGATGTTATATCGTGAGGTAAAACTTGCTAAAAATTCTAGAGAATAATAAGCTAACGGAATAACATATATCAATGAAAAAACGTGATAAATCACTAAAGACGAAAATAATGAATTTCATGAATATGAGAATAGGAGGAGGCATAAGAACAGTAGCATTGCATATAACTTCTAATATTCAGATAACTCAATAATAAAATCCATCTCATCAAAAATCTGTTCCAGATCACTAAGGTTGGCAGGCACCCGTATAAAACATCAAATAGATTTTTGTTGCGCGCTTAGTTCTGATGAAAATTAGGGAAATTTTTTGACTCAAACAGGGTATCATAGCCAATAGGGAATCATTGTACTCGAGGGAGGAATCCCTCACAGTGTCTTATACAATCGTGTTAATTCAGAAGGAAATCGTATATTCTTATGAAGTTTAGTTTGTTGATACAAAGACTCGTGTAAACGTATATTGAAAATGTGATGCCATGATAGAAGTTAGAGTATAACTAGTAAATAAATCGTTCGTTTATCGAAATCGATCACTAGCTTTTCTTTGTAAATTTCACATCTGCCTATTCAACAACTAATGTTTCTCATTTGAATTATAAAATTGAAATTTTTAACATCAATGATCTTGCAATTTCTCTTTGTCGTCTTTCACGCCAGATGCATACATACTTATATATCAACGACTTTAAATAAAATAATGTTTCTATTGCGTTGAATTCTCAAAAATCTTCTACAAAAAGCACTCAATTAGAATTTCTATGAAAATATATGTGAATCTTTTTATCTTATCAAATGAACAAGTAAAACAAATGATAACGTTTTCAATTCAATTTTTTGAATCATTTTTTTATACATGTCTGTTGATCTATCATTTATCAAACAGTTTTATGAAACACCAAATAGAATAAAATTAGAAGGCAAAAGCAAGGACATAAAACTTCTCTAAACCTGAATGGGTATTGAAAATAAAACCAATCTTGATAATAATTCAATATTTTTTTCTTTCTTTATACAAATACTGTCAAATATTCGTTTAAATTTCGACTGAGAACATTTCTCGTGTTGAATTGTTGATGTAGTAATGTTGGTGCTGGTGCTCCATTATCGGTAGCAACGCCGCTGAGCGATGACTGAAAGCAGAAATATAGTGATGTAAATCAAATGTCATAATTTTTCTATGAGTTACAAGCAAATATTAGAGTTACACAAATAAGTTATACAAAAAGCAAAAGCATTAGCAACGAGTAGCCCCAATCGGACTGAATCGAGCGTAATTATAACTAGTGTAGCTGTTGAGTCCTACTTCAACTGTTGTTGTTGCAGTTGTTTGTTGTTGACAAGCACCAACAGTGGTTGTCGAACCTGATGATGAGGAGGAAGAGGCAGATAATAGTAAGTGAATTGATGTGTTGGATAACAATGAACAAGAAGAAGAACACACATGATTAATTGAATTAGAATTTAAGCAAGTTAAACAAGCATTAGTATTTTGTCTTAATCTAAAGTCTACCTCATGAGATTCTGATATAATATCCATGTTATCTTCGGGCATAATTTGATGTCTTGAACTATTAAGACGTCTTTGTTGTTGTTGACTACTATTAACCCATTGTAGATCTTCATTAATTGTATCTAATTGTAAATGATCATTGGTTTCACGTATTGTGGTACGAAATGAACCTATATTTGCTGGTATAACATGATCACCTATGCCAGATGAACTAGATGAACTACTTGTGGAACGATTATCATAAGATGATACTAATTCTTCTATAGTTGTATTCACTGGTAAATCACTAACTTTGTAATGTCCAGATAAAAGACGATTGTTTATTGGTGATGATGATGTTTGATCACTACTACTATTAGATGAATCATCATCACGCACACCAAGTGTATACGGTGACGAATCACTGAGGGGACTTTTTGATTTAAAAAATGATAAACCTTGAGCAGGAGAATGTGTTCGAATTTTGAAAAATGGTGGAACACGATGTTTCGCACGTTGAATACGATAATAAATAATGACAAATAGAATAGCAATGACTATAAGAATAAATGCAGCAACACCTGCTATAATAGCATATATTGTGCTATTATCAATTTGAGATGAACTTGCTGTTGGTAAGGTAGACGAAGGAAAATTATTAATAGTAATGATAATATCTGCAGATGCATTCATGAATAATGATGAACAATTTTGTTGAACAGTCACTTGAAATCTATATACTGCTTGTGTCGGAGGATTTAATGAATTAGACCATTTTATAATACCTAATTGAGAAATGGTAAAAAAAGTATTTGATTGATTAGCGACAGCATATTGCACAGAACAAAGATCATCAAAGGTAACCTAAAATATATTAATGATAGAAAATATTTAATGAATAAATTTTGATACCTGAACACTGCCAATGACAATCGAAGGATTATCAAGTGGATAATCTGATGAAAACACGTAAGAGTTTGTTGAAAATGAAACTGGATTATATAGAAGGACAGTAAGATTTGTTTGACTCGACTAAATATTTTAATTTCAAATATAAAATAAGACGTATAAGACTTTTTTAAATTCAAAATTATATTAGAACAAAATCTGTTCCCATTTAGTTCTTTTTTCTTCTGTATAATTAACAGCTCGTACATAATATGTATTCAAATTTTTGAACTTATTAACAATAGATAAATAACTTACATATAATCCATCGGATACATCCAGAGTGCATAAACAAGGACGACATGTTGGAAGAGTTTGAGAGTAAACTGGTTGAATTTGAAAATCACGAATACTATTAAGTAGAATGAATTGTTCGATTCTTAAAGATAGATAACAAAAACGAATGATTAGTTTACCTCGTCTTTTTAATATTTAAACTAAGTGATGGCGTATCGCATATAGAACCATAATTTGGTCTTGGCACCTAAATAGGTTTTTTTTTAATTAGAGTTTTTAATTTAATTTAATTTAATCGTTCGCTCACTGTATCATTATCGCTGATGGTGCCATTAAATATTGGTATTTGACCTAGATTATTAGTCTTATAACCAATCATCAAATATGGTAAATTAAGAAAATTTGGTGGATACATATTTAATTCGTATACATTAACATGCAAAACAGCTGTGGCTGATCGATTAACATTATCAGCTTGTTCAGCCTGATTAAAAAAATGATATGTTAATGAATCATTTTCTAATACTGATCCTGTTTCAAAAAGAATTACTTGTATTAAAAGATCAAATTGCATTGTTGAATTAAAATCTGATTGAAGCGTCAAAACGCCTGTAAGATTATTAATTGATAAGTAAATATCTAAATAAAATATGAAGAAATTAAGGAGAGAGAAAAAAAATTTGATATTCTTTTACTTGATGTTAATATTGAATAAACTATGATTGTATTGATACCTAAATCTTGATCAAAAGCAAATATTCTATCTTCATTAGGTGTTACTTCACTAGGCTAAATTCAAAATAAATTTTTTTACATTGCAAAGAAAAATATGATGATAAAATTCAAAATACCGCCGACGCATTTATTGAAATATTAAGATTGTAGGAATTATACTGGAATTTTGGATTTGAATTATCAACATCAATAATATTTATAGAAACAATTGCTTTAGACGAAAGATTTGAATTTAAATTATCCTAAATACAAAGAGTAAATAAACGAAAAAATATCGTTTTTTTCTCTCTTCATATAAAATTCTTTTACTTGTGCAACGATTGTTAAATTGAATTTTGGTGCAATTGAATTATAATCTAATGCTTTCATTAAAACCAAACTTGCATTAGTTAAACTTAATAATTGAAAATAAGACTAGAAGTAAAATTTATTTTATTAATTTATTTTCTATATAATTAACTAACATTATATGGTGATGAATTATTTAATAAATAATATGAAAACGTTGCATATATACTAGAATCCAGATCATACGCAGCAATAGATGTTGGTATAATTGTACCAATGGATGCTGTTTCATTGATCTTTATTTCATAGAAAGATTGATTAAATCTTGGTGGATTATCATTAACATCAATAAGATCAAGTTGGAAGTCAATATTAGTCGCTGATCTATTAGCTAAAATTGTACATTCAACAATAAAACGAAATGGATTCGGACGATTATCTGATGTCCACCATTCATAATCAAGAGCTGAAAATGAATCAATGAAATTATCTTTTTGTTTTCTTATCAATTGAATGAAAACTTACAATAACGTAAATAGAGACTTGTAAAATTTAATGTGAAATAATCAGTTCCATTTGTTTTTACATCAGAACTATTATAAAGAAGTCGAGTAGAGATTTCCGATGGTGAACCAGTGATTTGAAGATCGGTTACACGATCTCCTACTTTCAAATTTTCAGACATTGTTATTATTTGCAGTGCAGGTAAAAATTGAAGCGTACATGGTTGACCTAAATTAAAATTTTGCAATTACTTTTCTTGTTAATGAAGCTCATTCAAAGATTTTTTTAGTTTTTTAAATAAATTTTTCTTTCTTTTAATGAAACATATCTATGTACTTAATTAAAGTATTAAGTCACACTTTTGCTTTTTCTACTCCGATTACCGTCAGTCTTCTGTTTGTTGACATATTTTATCGTTCTTCTTTTTCTTTCATCAGAATAATTAATGAATATTAATTAAGTCAACGTTCACACATTCGAATGAATGACTATTCATTCGATTCTAGTCAATATTAGACTATGTCTAAGTACAAGAAAGGCTATACCTTGCGTTTGCACCATGACTATGATTAGAAGTAGACGAAGTAGCATGAATATGATTTCGTTCATGATGAGAGTACTCATCGGCCAAGATCTGAATGATCATCAATCACAATACCAGTCAATCTTAAAGAAAAGAAAAAAATATTTGAAACGAATCAGCCTTTTGATTTAACTATGTGACACAAAGAGTACGATGGATATGTATATAATCATTTTCTTTTGACTATTTCCACTCACTTCTATTCTATTGTTCAAACTCATACGTGCTTATAGTTCAGTCTGCCTTTCTTTTGTCTAAATTATGTTTAAGTGATTACGCATATACAGGATGCGACTCTAGTCGCTTTCATCAACAGTAATAAAAGAAAACAGAAATCATTCATTCTTTTTTTCTTTGCCACTACCTAAAATATACTACACCGTTTTCGAGAATGTTTATATTTCATATATAGGTGGTGTACGTAATGCATCTTTTCTTTTCGTTTTCGTGTAATATGAATTCTTGACCGGTGACAATTTGTTTAAATACGAGTTAGGTGACAATATTCAAATGATGATTATTGAATGAAGAAAAAAAATAGATCTCATGATTTTGCAAATAAGATTATCTTTTTAGCAATCGCTTAATCAGTTTATTCAACAACAAAAAACTTACTTTTGCGATGAATATATTAATTCATTTGTCTTGTGTGTTCGACTATTGTTCAATGTCAAATCTATTTAATTTTGTGAGAAACATGTTCAATCGATATCTACAATTAGTAGTAAAAAGAGAAGAAGCAAAAATAGAATTCGAAAACATGCACATGCCATTGAAATTTAATGTCTTGAAAGAAAAACGAGAGTGTCAGAAGGAAAAAAGTTGTACGAAAAAGCAAACAAAAAAAACGAATACCTTTCCTTTCTGGCTCGTAACTTTCATCGGAAAGAAAGAAAGTAGTTGCGACGACAAACATATGTATAAGTGTTAGTGCCATCCTCTTCAATGAAAAAATCAACCTTGAAAATATTTTACTTACTTTAATGTTCGATGAAGGACATTTATTTTAACTGCCTATGCGATTTTTATAGAATTATTCTATTTATGAATCAATGAAAGCGTCAAATGCTATTGAAAGAATGAAAATGATTATAGTATTTTGTCACGTATCTATTTTTATGATGTTCAAACTATCGATCTAGCTATCCATTAGAAGAAAGATAAAGAGAGCAAAAATAAATGTGTTGAAAGCAGTAAAAGAACGTGCGAAGAAAACTATCGGAAATTCAACGATTAAACGTGACAATCAATCAATTCGAAAGCGACAACGATCAATGTCACACGTTTAGTTGACTGAAAAATGGCACAAACAATTAATTCCTCTCTACCTTACTTACCTATCGCAGGATGTTTGTGTATGAAAAACAACCGATGAAGAAGAAACCTCTCAAGTGTTATGCAAATATGCAAACAGCAAGTGTCTTGTTTACCAATTAATAATACGGATGAAAGTGATGATTAACTATATTCATTGAAAAGAATAAAAAGAATGAAATAAACTAAATACAAAATGAAATTGATAAGAACAAAAAAATAACTAGTTGATGTGATAGTTTTCTAGTCTTCACGTTTTATGTGAAACTAAAATATTGTTCAATTGATCTCATATTGGGTCGGTTCTTTTCTTTTCTTTCATTATATTTCCATTCTCTACGCTTCATTTAATTGTATTCTTTGTACCTCTTACTCCACGATGATCAAAACTAGATAAAATAAGACAATGATAACTACAACTATTAGAAAAACATAATTGGTTGTTTATATATATATATATATATATATGTTTATACACCCTCCTATTTCGCTCTCATCATTTATTCGTAGCTTCCTAATTGCGGGCAAAAATTAAGCCAATTAGTGAAAAATGACCGCAATTTGGAACGAGTGAAATTTTATTTTCTTATTTTTATGGTGTTTCCAAATTGCGGTCATTTTGAATTGATTATGATTTTTTTTGCATGATTGATACATATAAAATGATGAGAAAGAGTGATATTTCATTTGACACAATGAATACTAAGGTCACTTCGTCAGCAACTCAAAAAGGAGAAAAAGTACTTTTGTACAAGAATTATTTATATCGAGTAAGAACAGGCTCAAAAACGCACAACAAGATCAAGAAAAGCGGAAATATACGCGACGATGAAAAGCTTAAGCTAGGAAAAAATAAATATATTCTTGATCAAGACTTTGATGCATATCAAAAAGTCTTGCGAAGTATTTCTCATCGATATATAGATATTTTAAAAGATGCTATAGATAGCAGCGACGAAGAGTAATTTTTTTGTGTTCATGTATTCGTCGTATCAATTAATAAATATATAGATATGTAACAATCATTTTATGTTTGTTGATTGCTTAATAAAAAAGTGACCGCCATTTGGAAACACAATAAAAATAAGAAAATAAAATTTCACTCGTTCCAAATTGCGGTCATTTTTCACTAATTGGCTTAATTTTTGCCCGCAATTAATACGTAGCCCATTTATTCAAAGATGCTTACAGTTTATCTCGTTTTTCTGTCTCATTGTCACGATATAGATACATCACTTATAATCAATCGTTCTCTACCTATATCTTACAAATAAATTGCTCATCGCTCAATAAATGTGATTCGCTTGAGCAATTCTCTCTTTTTTTCAAACGATCGTCTATAATAGAGTATAATCAAATACGCAATAGATTCAATTTTTTTTTTTTACAAATGATAACTATTTTCAAATTACATCACGCTTAGTATTCACACATATAGCTATGTATCAATCTACCTATCTAATGAGCCAATTTGACAACGAAAGTACAAATCGATCAAAAGAAAAAATGTCTATTGCTCAATCAGAGTAATTAGATTGTTCACTTTTTCTTTTACCTTTGTACGAAAACGAATCGATTTATAAATAAGATTAAATCTCTCATGCGGGTGTTATAATTCAATCAGTAGACGCATTATAGTACCATTTATCAAAAGATTCAGACTAAAGTCAATTTAGAAAGAAAAATTATATATAGTTACCTAGAAGTAATCTGCTAGAAAGAAGACAAAATAATATGGGCACAGAAAAAAAAGCAACATCTTTTCATTGAAATAAGGGTGAAATTATATTGATCAAATATATTTATGCGTACATAATGATCACAACTTTTTTTTCCCACCTTATATAAGTATGGGATGCGTATTTTGGTTTGTAGTATAAGTACTATGAATATGCACACTTTATTTTTGTGTACCGCCAATGTTATTGATTATTAAGACGAAGAAGAAGAAAAAAATCGGACAGCAATGTTAAACGTAAATACATAACAACAAAGGTACTTATTGGTAAAACGAGAGTAGATCGTTAGCATCGCCATAGGTGGAACCGTATTTTTCGTGAATGCAAAGTAACTGACTTTTGCTTTTGTTCGTTGATAAAAGGAAAAAAGAAGGAATGAGAGAAAATTGGTATAATTTGTGTAAATATTGTACACACACGTATGTATACATGCGTAGTAAAACAAGAATCAGTCAGATGATGAAATTTTATATTTCTCTGGTAGTAATGAAGGCATGGCACACCTCGATATAGTAAAATTCTCTCTCTCTCTCTCTCTCTGATTTCTTCTCATCATCGAAGTGTCAATTGAGATTTAGTTTAACGTCATTGCTTTTACTTACTATATGATTGCATCATCAGTATATTACAAGTATTAAATATATGCTTTGCCGCCTAAGTCCATTTAAATTAGAAGGGAGTTCAAGGCTCGTTTGCATAAGCTCCGAACCCAATGAAAAATATAGCAACGAAAACGAACGATGAATAGATAATGTGATGTGGCAGTTATATCAAATGTCAGTCAACAAGTAAATGATGATCATATTTGTCAAGCATATAAACAACTAAAAGATCTATTTCTTTATTGAATCGTTTGATCAATACTATTCATTTGTTTTCAATTATATATATATATATATCCAGAGGACGACAAAAAGATGAACATCAATATATTATACAGAGAACTCATTGGCTATTGTAAGATATCATATTCATGCATTTCATTTGTATTATGACATTTAATAGACAAAGAAGAATACATACATATGTATAATTGGTCAATATTATCCAAGTTTCTTTTGTTTTTATTTCTTCATCTATGAATTATATTGATATTCGTTTTTTGTTTGATATAAAAAAAATATGAACCAGTGTCAGCACAGCAGTATTGCATCATATGTGATTGATTGTTTTAAATCTTTGCAAACTATTAAAGTAGCTTATTGTTCTTTATTCATAACTCAGTTACATTATCACCTTTTATTTGACCTTCGGCAAAATCAACGAATGAAAAAAAGTTAAAAATAAACAACAAACAAGTTCCAAATCGTCTCGCAGTACTTCTACATGTTCTTTATTCAAAATTTGATAGTGAGACAACAAATATAGCTGAAAATGTCCACTAAATTCTTGACTATACTGGAAACATTACTACATGAACTTACGTGTCAATTATGACGAGTAATAAAATTATCAATTCGTATACTTAAATAATATAAACAACGAAAAACTAATGAAACATTATCGTCGATCGGGTTTAAAACTTTGCAAATCTAATTCTAGCAGATGAAAAAATCTGAGTTATGATTAAATGGAACAAGTGTCATATGCAAACACTAAGTAATTAGTATTTTTTATTAGTCAAATAACAAAAATAGTCTAATAGACGAACTAGCAGTACATTTCATATTTTATAAATGATTGGCAATCAAAGACTTCACATTTATTTATATCGACTATACATGTACTTTAATAATACAAACAGATTCTAGGTGCAGATCATTTTTTTGGAGATTCCAAGATTTGTTTCTCTTAGTTCAACTATACGACGTGATGAATCTGATTGAGTGAGTTTCTTTTTGTACATAGCAGAAACCATGTACAATATTGAGAAATGATTAAAATAAAATTCATCTATAGAAAAGGCCTTGATGAAATAGATTAACATTTGTAACCGGTTATCGAAGAGTAATTTGATAAAATGTTCACTGATTTCGTTTTGTAGTCTCTTGAAGAAGCCGGTTGTAATTTGAACATATCAAGTGAGAATAAAAATGTTGTATTCTTTCTAAATATGATTTTCAAATTTCTTTAAGGCTTCTAGTTAAAGACTTTTTCGAGAGTCATAAATCAAGCTTGAACGAATTTCAACTTACTTGAAATGGAATTTCATTGTAAACAGACATACGCATGATTAGTTTTTTGACAGGCCACTTGTTAACAAAATGTCTTTTATTAACTTATCTTGTCTCAATTCAGGCAAAATTGTCCATTTATCTGGACAAGAGACTTGTAAAGTTACCTTGGCTACTCCTGAATGATTGTTGTGTAGCTATTTGATTGGTATATGAATTTTCAAAGAATAATTTCGTCTTTAATTCTATGTAAAATACAAGTATGAGGTGTTAAAATATATATGTATATATATATATTCTCATGATCTGTAAACCGTTCTATAGTTCTGTTGAATCAATATATATTTCGAAAACTAAAAAGAAGTGTCTTTTTTAATTATAATAGTCTCTACGAAGAGACTAAATCATGAGTACACATATGATGACATGACGTAATGATAAGTTGTAAGATTAGGAAAATAATTTTGTTTTTTGAATGAAAAAAAGAATTCCAAGTCAATTAAAATAATCATAATCAAAAAAGCTACAGTTAATTAAATTGTTTGTTACTTTTAGTGTTATATCCATAATCATATATTATATGTATATGATGAAATCGGCGTAGTTAAAATGTGAATAATTGTTGTCTTGCTATGATTTAGAAAAACAAAATTCTCTTAGTCGTACTATATTTTAATAATAAACTGCATATAACTCTATTAACATCACATCGTATAAAGAATACTTGATTAAATGTATACGTAATTAACTTAAATTCACACTGAAAAAATATTTTCGTTGAGAAAGTCTAAATTCATATGGAGAAAGTAAATAAATGAAGGTATCGAATGCTATTGGAAGGGTTTATTTTTTTGGAATTGCATCTACATCTAATAATTTTTGTAAACGTTCTTCACAGTTATCCAAGCCATACAGTTTACATTTTTGTAACCAGAGATTACAAATAGCATCATTTGATTTGTTTTTTGATGGATCACCTTGAATACCTTGAGGAAAACTAAAATCCGGCACAAAATTTGCTGTCAATGATGGATCATCTTGAGTTCCTTGTGGATTCGAACCAACAGTACTTGCAAAACGTCGAGATACTACACGAAAAACGGGTCGTAAAAGGGCAGACATGATCTGAAACAATAAGCAGTTTATCTGAATCGTAATAATTTCATTTAAAACGAAATTATTGAAAGAAAAATAATCAAATTTTGCTTGGTTGTTCTATTATTATTGGAAGAGAAAATAAGTACACTAATAGAATAAAAACGAATATAGGTTTATTTGAAATTTTTATTATCATTCTTTGGTGTCATTTCATGTTCAATTTTATTTAATGTGTTTGAGGTTACAGCAGCTAAATCATGTGCTGTACCAGATGTTTGCTCCAAATCACGTGTTACATCTTTAAATTTATTTGTCATACCACGACGTATATCAGTAAATTCTTTTGTCATTTGTCTATTTGATTCAAGGAGATCACGTAATTTTGTTTGAATATGTGAGTTTTGTGAGTCAATTTTATCCATCGCTTTTTCGATATCGTTTAAGGCTGTTTCTAATTCAAGTAATTCTATTCAAATTTGAAAAAAAAACACTGAGTATAAATGAAACTATTTTCTTATCCATACCAGAATCTATTTGAGCATCTCTTGAGTTAGAATTATCGGTAACATTGTGCACATTACTGAGATCTTTGTGATGATTCGAATGGCGATGATCGGATGTTGTCATATTTTGTAAACTAAAAGTATTTTTTTTTCTGAAAACAATGGTAAACAATTTTAAAAAAAGAAAACATTGTACTTTCTACCGAGTCATACGACATGACAACTCGTATAATTGCCCTGCGATGTCAAGAGATAGTGGTGACGTCTATCGATTCGTCAAAAATAAAGATGAATTCAAAATAATAAATAATCAAAAATATTTTTTATTTTTATATTCAAGTTTTTATTTTAATTTCGATAGCTTTTTGGAATTCATTGTCGATGTTAGGATTTATGAGTAATTCATTCGTTCAATTAAAAAATACATAGTATTAAAAACAACAAAGTCGTCCATCATATGTACCTTCAGGTCGATTTTATTCTTGTAGAAAAGATTGTTTGAATTATATCGAAACAATAACAAAAAAATTTGGTCAATTGAGAATTTTTTAAATGATTTTTCTCTATACTAACTGATCTTAGTAGAACATTGAAATTCTTTCATTTGTCAACGACGATCAGATAAGGAATTTCATATATAATAAGATTGTTTGTCATTTGACATGATGAAATTTACGATAAATTAAATATCTTCAACTGAAAAATGTGTACGTTCAGAATTAGCTGGTAAACACTTCAACGCAACGTTATTAAAGTTGAACGAGGAATCCAATTAGAAAGAATATATCAATAGGTTTAAATATTTGTAATAATATTTTTTTTGCATTTTAGATATTGATCCTATTGAAATACTTATTGATCATTGACAAGTAGCATTTGATTTTTGTTCAATTCCAATTCATGTTTCAAATAATGAGAAAAATAGTGTCACAGCTGAACTTTGTATCGAACAGCTTTTCTATTTATTCAGATATTTTGAACATTTTTTTAATCATATATTTCATCTTTATTTTTCGTAGCTATAAATAAGTCTAATTAGAGTTTTGTTTTACTGCATACTATTTTGATGATTAGAACAAGTGCTCGACGATGATAAAATTACCAACAGAATATTTACTGTTGACAAATCACCAAGTTTTCCCTGAGAGCACTATGAATTTATTTGACCATGAATCGAAAGTTTCTTTTTTCTTCAGATGCCTTCACATAAGACGCTTAAGATTAAAAAAATACTGGCAAAGAAGCAGAAACAAAATCGACCTGTGCCACAATGGGTCAATTGATTACTGATTGTCATTTTCAAAGAATTTTCTGTTTTTGTTTTTAGGTTCGAATGCGTACAGGAAATACTATTCGATATAATTCAAAACGCCGACATTTTCGTCGTACAAAACTTAAATTATAAGCAATCATTTACAGCGGCGATAACAATATTAATATTATTCTAGTGTTTATTATTATAATTGTTGTTGTTTGTTTTGCAGTGTTATAAAGAAAAGAAAAAGTAAATATTCGTTTTGAAGTAAAAGAAAGTTACCAGCGAATAAATAAAGATTCCTATTAAAATGAAAAAATCTCATTGATTAAGGCGACCATTGAAAGTTCTAGATTACGGAGTACGTCAAAATCATTCATTACTATTTTTTCAGATTATATTTCTATAATTATTAGAATAAGTTTAACGTGTATATGCGATGACAAATCTGTTTGATGAAATCAAATTGTTTACATACAATGAGTTTTCCAAACATAAATCTTACTATTGCAGCGATTCAACTGTTACATATCATAGAGCCAAACTACTGTGTCTATTAATTTCAAGAGGTATTCGACATGATAAAAGGTAAGCAAGAGAAATTAGATTCGATAAATCACGCTTTGAGTAATCTTGAAATATTCAAAAATAGTTTCATTCTACCCAATTTAATACGTTATTCAAGATATATGAAGAAAACGAACTTTCTCTATGGCAATCAAAATAGATCTTACCTATTTTATGTTATTTCTCATAGTTCATATTGTTATTTATAAGCGAAACCAAAAATGCAACAGAATTAAGTCTTCTGAAATTTTATACTATAATTATTCATAAATTGAATACCTATAAAAGTTCGTTTCTATAGAATTTAATTAATTTCGTAACTTTTTTTGTTTACGTCAACTGTAATTCGTTTTTAGAATATTTTCAACTAATCGAATAGAACGAGAAAAGAAATACTATTCGTTCTATGTCCTTCTACGTTTACGTGTAATGAATCATATGTAGCAACATCGTTTTTTGTGACGAATTTGTTTTTGTTTTGTCTATAATTAATAAGGCAGAGAGAATAAATAATGTTTTTCGTATGCGTTAAAATATTGCCTATTGAATAAGTCTCAATCATGAAGAAAGCGTTGCTAGAAAGACACGACCAATCGACATCATTAGTCGAGGCGAAAATGCGTGAATTCGGTACTCAATTGGATGAATTTTTTAAAAATTCCAATCAATCACCGGAAATTTTACATGCTCTCTTTGAACAACATTGCTTATCATCAATACATGAGTCAATTATATTTATTTATTGGAATTCATTGAACAAACCGAAAATAAATAGACTGTTAGATAGAACAATTGAATATTTACAATTAAATAAGGAGGAAAATCTTATTAAGAATCCATATTATTTAAAAGAAATAGAATTTAATGAACAAATCAAAAATTCTGCTTTATTACATGATGCTATTATGAAAAATTATGAGAATATTTTTCTATTATTACTTAAATCAGGTTTTAATTCAAATAATTTATTACCTGATCGGAAAACTCCATTGTCAATGTGTGTCGTAGTGAATAATATTGATCCACGAAAACGCTTAAACTATATTCAATTATTAATTGAACAAGGAGCAAATGCAATTATACGAGATGTTAATAATGTTTCACCATTCCAACGTCTATGTGGGATGGGTAGGTTTGTTTTGTCAATGATTGAATACGAACAGATTTATCTAATAATTGAAGTTAAAAAATTAATTAAAAAACCTTTGCTTTTTCACAATCAAATTCATCATAAGTAATGAGATTATGAATTGAAATTTTCTGCGACGAAATTTTCATCCTGAACACAGCTTATACGTATATAGATTATTGTAAAATATCTCGTAAGTTTCATTTATAAAAGCGATACAGTAGTCTTACTATTTTTTGAGTTAAAATAAATAAAAATGCGCAGTTTTTATTCAAACATTCTTTTAACATTTCATTTGATGCAATCTTGCGAACATTTTAGTAAATGAGATGATTATTGTTGTCAACATAGAAATCAACAATCGAATAAAAATAGCTTGTTATTTAGGATTTCAAAACAAAACAAAATGATTGATCAGAATTTTGAATCTAGGTGGAAAAGTTTTACTTATAAATGCATATAAATTTCATACAACACATCATAATAGAACTGAGAATTTTACAAAATACTTAAATTTACTCTAAAAGAGAAAAGTTTGGAACTGTTCCTTGTGAAAAACAACTAAGCTTTCTTTTTTTCTTAAATCAAATTTCCTAAGACGATCGTTTTTAATGAAATTTTAGGAGGCTTCCTTAGTTCATTCGAATAGATAAGTGTGATAGTTAAACATCTGTTGTTTCATCTATCATAGTAACCGTGATACGGAGAAAACTTTGCTAATCTAGTAGATCTAGGACTGATTCAATGTTCAGCCAAACTAAATTGAAATCGATTGAACTCGAAAAAAATTGATTAGACACTACTATTACCGTATTCTAGATAGAACTGAAAATTTCTTCTAAATTTGTATAGTAATGATTGATTTAAAATAATAAATCAATTTCTTAACTGAATCAAGTACCTTATGAATAGTTTTTAATTCAACTGTTACCAACATTAGAATCTATTCTTTGAAAATTGAAATAATTTTATCTTTCAGAATCGAACTATCCCGTTGTCTACAATTTCTTTCGTGATTATTTACTTTCGGTTTATCCTGATGAAATTGAATCTGAATTTAATAGTGGTCTGGAAACGGCTCTTTTCAATTGGTGCGTACCTATTGTTACTGATCTTCTTGAGCATGGTGCTACTTTTGATGCATTGAAAAATGTGTATTCATTTGAAAAATTTCTATCAGATCTAGCTTCAATCATGTTTGAAATACGTCGTTCAATATCATACATTGATCCATTTATTTTATGTTTCATACAAATAATTTTACATAATTCACCATGTGAGAATTATTCTATTTGTATTGAAAGATTTATTCAATCAATTTATATACCTGGTGTTTGTTTTGAAGCAAATTCTAATCCATGTGAACATCCATCAATGGCAAATGTTAAAATTTTTTTATATTTATCAGTTCATTTTGGATATTTATCAAAGACAGTGAGCGATAGAATTCGTAGACAAGATCTTCCAAAAATATTAACAATGCCTACAGAAAATTTATTGGCATCACAAGCACAAAGGCAAAAATTGGTCGATACATTAAATCAACATTTTGACGAATTAACAGTAAAATATCATAAAAATCCGGTATCATTAAAACTATTTTCAATTCGAAAAATTCGTCAATCGATGATGAAAGTTAATCAAAAGAATATCGAACAATTAAATATAAGTCAATATTTAAAAAAGATGCTGTACTCAGAACAAAAAATTTAGATTTCAATAAATGAACTTAACGAGACTAGTTAAACTGTTTAATAATTACAATGTTAACGCTATTAATTAAAGTCAAATATCTATTGAATTAGTAAAAAATATTTCTTATCGAACAAAATGCTTTGTTAAGCTTGTAACTTTTCAGCTACACAATATTTTCTGAAGATTGAATTTTCTGAGTCTTCGAATACTAATATTTTCTTTAAAAGAGATATACTTGAAGCTCTTTATACACTGTGTAAACGGATTTGTCTCATATTTTATAGCTTTTTTGTTCCAAGCTATAGTTTTCATTCAACTGAAATGCTTTCAAGCAAATGAAATGGGAAATGACTCAATGCATGAATATATTTCACTGCTGTAGCACCGAAAAATTCTTCCCTTTAGTCTATTTTTATACAATTATAGAAGCATGAAAAGTCCGAATATTTTGAAATATTTATATCTTGAGCATACCTTCTTGAAATAGAATTCTCTGAGTATTGTTATAATTTGTTTAATAATTGTTTATTAATAAAAAAAAGATATCAGATTTAAATACTCACAAGTTAATCAAAATAAATTTCCATTGAAATCATATGATAGAATCGAAAAACATATTTTGTTTTTCCAAAAGAAAATCATCGAATGATTCATTTTCAAATTTATGACTCATCTCCCAATATATTTTTCTTGCTGTGCTGACCTTAACTCTTCTTAGACATTTTTTTTTGCTTCACTAGTGAATGGCGAAGAAGAACACATGTGATATGATGCATCGAAATGCACTTTATCTATTTTTACATCGTCGTGCATTATTTTGTTCCAACAGACAAATATTTTTTGATTATACTTCTAGATATATATACTTAAATTAAAAAAAGAATGCAAGGCTTTTCTTGCCTTGTTGTTGTCGTTTGTTTATTATCGATTGGTTTGTGTGTTGACACTCAGCTACATCGGTTTGTATATTTATTTATTCTAATAAATCATTACGCGTAGGTTTTATTGTTAAAACGAAAATAGAATAAAACTACAACATTTTCAATCGGTACATGATCAACTTCTGGAAGTTGATTCACACAAGTTAGTTGCATTTGAACGTAAATATGGTCTTGGCGGACCAATTCCTGAAGGATTAACAAACTATTTGGATGTAAGACAAGAATAATTGTTTATTTTAATCAAAATTTGATTTACTAGGCTCAATATTATGGAGATATTGGTATTGGTACACCATCACAACCTTTTCGTGTTGTTTTCGAGTATGTCTATTTAGTATGATTAGATGAAAATATTAATAAATAAATCATTTCTTCCTTTGATCAGTACTGGTTCATCTAATCTTTGGGTGCCAAGGTAGATCGTTATTTGATTTATTTCTGAAAAAACTCAATTTTTATTTACACATTAGCGTTCATTGTTCACTTCTTGATATTGCTTGCCGTAAGTTATATTTACCTGTTGAAATATCAATTTAAAAATATTCTTTTAGAACTACATAAAAAATATAATGGTGCAAAATCATCAACGTATGTGGCTAATGGCACAGATTTTAAAGTAAAATAAATAAATATAATTATATATATTGTTTAAATTTCCTTGTATTAATATTTTGACAGATTCAATATGGTACTGGCTCACTCCAAGGTTATGTTAGTGTAGATACAGTAACAGTAAGATAAACATTTTTTTTATTCATATTACGTAAAATAGTTTTATTTAGATTGGTGATGCAAAAATTCAAAGCCAAGGATTTGCTGAAGCTATCAAACAACCGGGTATTGCTTTTGTTACAGCTAAATTTGATGGTAAGAAGACTGTATTTTTGTGCTTCTGCTTAATCGAATATAAATTTTTTTGAAGGAATTCTCGGTCTTGCATATCCGTCGATTTCGGTTGATGGTATTTATCCAGTATTTAATAATATGTGGGATCAAAAATTAGTACCGGCCAATGTATTTAGTTTTTGGCTTGATCGGTATGTTTGAAACAGATTGAAAAAACATGAATATCTATTGCATTGATTTCAGTGATCCAAATAATCCACGTGGTGGTGAAATTATTTTCGGTATGTTATTGTTTTTTCTTTCATTGATGCACTATTAAGATTTATTTGAAAAATTAGGTGGCTCAGATCCGGACTTGTATGAAGGTGATTTTGTTTATGCTGATGTAACTCGTCAAGATTATTGGCAATTTAAACTCGACGGAATCTCACTTGATTCGAATCAATATTGTCAAGGCGGCTGTCAAGCGTAAAGAATAGATTTAATTTTTCTTTTATTGACGAGCATTAATTTGATCTTTTTTTAGTATTGCTGATACTGGTACAAGTCTTTTAGTTGGCCCAAAAGCTGAAGTTGCTAGTCTGAATTCAAAATTAGGTGCTATTCCTATTCCGGGTGGTGAAGTAACATAAAAAAAAGAAACTCTTCTCTTTTATTTTCAAGTTTTGTGTTTTAGTATATGATTGATTGTAAATTAGTTCCAAGTTTACCACGTGTACACTTTACAATTGCTGGACATGATTTTTATTTGGATGGTCCAGAATATGTTTTAACTGTTAGTCAATTTAATAAAACATTATGTTTATCTGGTTTTATTGGAATGGATATTCCACCACCGGCTGGCCCTCTTTGGATACTTGGTGATGTTTTTATTGGACCATGGTATACAGAATTTGATTTTAGTAATAATCGTATTGGTTTTGCTAAATCAGCTTCACCAAAAAATGCAACTATGAAACGTGACAAGAAAAATTTATCGGTTCTTGACATTTAGCTTTAAATCATTCCAATTTTGTACTTACGACAAAAAGAAAATCAACAGTGTTTTATGAAAGCACAAAAAAAACAATAGAAGCTAACATTTTTTTCTCATTTCATTAGAATCCAGCTTTTTGTCGAATTCTTTTCTCGCTTTTTGATCTTTGATATGCATTAGCTATGTGTTCTTCTTTCATTCATCCTTAGGTACGAATAATAAATATCTATTCAAGCCTTGAATTTCCAATTCAGTATCACGAATGAATTTTAATCGAACGTCTAGTCAGTTCTAGAAAAAAAAACATCCAATAGAATTTTGAGTGACTTCCGCGAATCATTACGTGCTATCTTTTTCTATTAAAGACAATTTGTTTTTAGAAAGAAATATAGCAAAATTGATGATCAATATCTTACTTATATCAAATTATTTTTATTTCTATAAACATAAATTTGTAATTGAATAGGCTCAAACTCGTAAGTTTATTGTGAAAACATGAGGCAACCATCTGCATAATGTCGATATACCAGAAGTTTTGTGTTCTGGCTTGAATCACATAGATTTTTTAATTAATATAGGGACAGAGTAGATTATCAACGATTTGAAACGTATTCTATCGAATTCGAAATTTATCAAACCATAATTCTTTGTTTTTCATTGAGCACTATGGTACTGACATGATTTATTAACTACGTCTAAAAGTATACTTTCAGTCTCGCTGATAATCTAATAGTTTGATATAATCTGTTAAGTATTCTACTTATAGACTATAACGATTAGATTGATCCAGCAATCGTGTAGTGTAGAATTTGAAATGAACTACTTTTTATTTTTAGAAATCCTATTCGATGTAGTCTTAAGAAAGTTAGGAGTGTCTAATTTATACATATCCGTAATCTTTAAGAACCGTCTAGGAAAATATCCCATATATGTTTCTGACACGGTACATATAGATCATGCATTCTTCAATTCAATTATTTAGTTTAAATGTTAAGCATTAATATTTCATCGTGAAGTAATTATCGTTTCAATCATTTACGTCATTTACATCACACGGAACAATATTCGACATAGCCATCTATTCATTGAATGGTTTACTAAATATGGAAGAAGAAGCTTAATATCTTCAATTTCATTCTTAGTTCAGTTATGTTTTGCATTGTTTCTTCTTGAAACTCTGTCTTCTGTGACAATTTAGGGTTTTATTATATGATTACCAGAATTGTCATGATATAATTGACTACGAACTTTTTCTTGATTCAACATAATGATTTTCTATTAAAACAAATGACAAATGCACTTTGATAGAAAGAAAATAAGTCAAAACTATTGTGTGTATAAATACACAGCATTACAATCAATGATTTTTTGTTAATGTCATCGACAACGTACAACAAATAATTAGGGGCTACAAGCCGATTTGATCTTGTTCATTAGAATCGAGCGTGAGCAACCCAGATTAAAAATGATATCTATAGACATCTATTGATTAGTCTATCAAATTAAACCATTTTAATATTTTTATCCATAATCTCTATAGTTTCTCATACTAAAATTATCTTTTATAAATCATACTTCAATTTCATCGCATCTGTATGTTTAATAGGTGTTGTCATGATAACAACATGAATGATGGACATGAAGAAATCCTATTGGTTGATTTTTTTCATTCTTCTTTCTCTTAATAAAACCACTTAATGTTTTTAGAAAAAATCAAAATCCGAAACTTTGAAATTTAGATAAGTACTAATGGATTCCTTCTGGATTGATTTTTCTTAGAAAGTCTAAGTGAAACGAAAGAGATTTGGTTACAAATGGCTTCATTATCTGAACAAAAATATGTCACATTAAGAAAGCGTCTTGATCAGTTCGGTTTTAAACAACCATTAGCTATTGAATCTTTGCCGTTGGTTGAAAAACTTTTTCAAGCTTTTATTCAAACAACCGAAGAGCTAAAAAAGACTAAAGAAGTATATTTGTAGAATTTTAATTAACAAAATTTACTTTGTATTTTATCGACTATAAGAATCCTCAAACAATTGCTGCTCCACCTTCAACAAATACAAATCCATCAACAACATATACATCAGCACATCCATATAAAAATGATAATGCTCGACTTGTTAAAGAAAATAATGATCTTCATTTAGAGTTAATTAAATGTCGTGAACAACTTGATCATCATGTTAAAGGTTAATGTGTTAAATACGTCGATGTGTATATTTTTTACTTATTATTTTTTTACGTTTAAATAGAATTCAAAAGTCAATTAAGAAAACTAGAACATGAAAATGCCGATCTACGTTTTCTAAATACTCAATATATTCATCGATTACGTTCATTAGAAAAAGAATCTCGTCAAAAAGACAATAAAATCTTAGAATTACAAGAAAAGAATTTTCAAGCTGTTGTTCAAACGCCAGGTAGAAAATAAGAAAGATTTTATTTTTTCAAAAATCTAAATACGTAGGTGGAAATAAACATACGATTCCATTTCGCCGTCAACGATTAGATATCGATGAAATGTTACCTGAATCATCATCATCACAACAAACATTAGCTCAGCAATTACCCTATGTTAATGATCCATATATCATTGATATTGTTAAAGTTACTGAAGATCGTGTTGCTGAATTAGAATTAGAATTACAACAACAGAAACAATACGTAGATGAAGTTGAAACAAAAATGGCTAATCTTAAATATCAGGTAAACATTAACTATTCATTGATCGCAGAAAATGACCCAAAAGAAGAATTTTCTGTTTGTACAAATTCATCGAAAAGAAGAATTTACATTATCTTTGATGGGAACAATAATAATAATAATAAATACTCTATTTCTTAAAAACTTATCACTAAGTGTTTTTTTTCTTACTGATAACTTAGGTAAATAATAATAATAATAATAATAATAATAACAATAACAGAAGATAAATCAGAAGAATTTTGATTTGTATTACGAAACCGAATATGCATTTTAAAGTAGACTTATATAACGTTAAATATCGAAAAACACAAAAGAGAGAGAGAGAGAGGGAAAGAAAGAAAGCAAGAAAAATGTTTCGATAATTACAATAAAAATAAATAGATGTAACGTTGCATCATATTTTTTTAATACGGTTATAGATCAAATAAATTGAAATTCCTCTCTCTTCATGGCATATCTTGATGAAGAAGAGTTGAGATACATTCTCGTTAGATCATTTTAATAGAAGAACAAGAATCTAAACTTTTTTTTACCACTGTTACCAATGATGATTGTTATAATTAGAGGAAACCACAAGTGAGCGCACTGAGCATTGTGTATACATAGGAAAGAGGTGGAGGACGAGAAGAAAGAATGAGGGAAGCCAATGTATTTCTTTAACGATATGCCGTCCTGCACTTTCGTATTTCGTTTCAAGTGCAAAAATAAAGTTGTAAATCTTAATGGAACATAGTCCGAAGAAGCGAAAAATTCTTGATGAACTGCCATCAAAACTATAGGCAGCTTGTATGAGCACACCTCATCGTTCATTTTAGTTTTTTTTTCTCGCACTATACAAAGGTGCACTGTACATCAAACTCATGTATTCTTTTCTATTTTCATTATGTATTTAGTCGCTATCATACATAAACGCACTTGTTATAGACAAACTGTTGATTAGAATACTGATAGAATTTATCGATTAATTTCTTTGGTTACAAACACGCCCATCTTTTCTTTTTAAACTTTGTTATGACACCGTAAGCCACAGCTTTTTGCGTCTTTCATGGTCACCATCTTGTGTGAATAATAATGACAAACTTACACTCACATACTTTATTTTATTGATGAAGTAAATTTCGTTATGTTTAGCAGTTTCATTTTCTCTTACTTTTTCGTCTCAATCTCATACTTTTTGTCGCTGAGTATTTTTCTTAAATATATTACAACTCGCTTCTTTTCATTGTTCTATTTTTTTTCATACCACAAGTTTCAATGTATGACAATGTTTATAGTAAAAAGAAAATAACAAAAAAGAAAGAAGCAGCGTAGATCTGTTTTTTTTTCTCTTCCATTATTTTGTTTTGTTTATGTATAGAAAAAAAAAACGAAGGTGAACGAAAGAAGAAAATTTACAGCAGGTTTCCTAAGGGAAGCTTTCGAATGAGATTTAGCTATTCATTAGTGTTGAGATATTTCTGCGTGAAGAAATAAAAATATTGAAGGAGACATGTACTCCTCACGACGTAATCGCCAAGTTAATGATTTACACAATAATCATACGACTACGAGAATGACAACATCGGCATTATCGTCGCGCCCTTCAAGTCATTCTAATCGTCGTACAACACGATCAAGAATGAGTTTGAACGGAACACTTCCATTCCGTTCGCCTAGTACTAATCAGGTCTGTATACTACTATTATTCATCTACTTATTACAATGAAAAACTCCTTAGTGGGATCTAATTTTTCTTTTTATTTCTTTGTAATATTACAGTTTGTTTATCAATTTGCAGGTTGAAAATCGCGATCGTGAAATTGAACGACTTCATCGTGTCCTTGATGGTGGTCGTTCATCTGATGCCCTTTCTTTTGAAGCAAGATTAAGAAGTAACGAGAAGATCATTTCGAATCAAAATGCACAAGTATATCAATACCTTTCTTTGTAATTGTGTTCGATTAAATTTTTCTTGGTTTTATATTAAAATTTAGATTGATTTTCTCCATGAGACAAATCGAGCACTAGAACGACGTGTTCAAGAATTATCCGAACTTAAACGTAATCTATCAGATAAACAATTTGAAGAACGTATTAGAAACAATGATCTTCTTCGAGATATTAAAGATTTTGACCGTCTTGCACGAAAAGTTCAAGCAGATAAAGATTATACTGTTGAAGTAGCTGATCGAGAATTAACTGAAGCTAAAGTACAAAATAAAGTTTTGAAAAAATCGTTGAATTAATAATTTTTTGCTTTTTTCTAAGATTGAAATTCAACAAAATCTTCGAGAAATGCAATCACTCGATGCTAAAGTTGCCAGTCTAACTACCGTACGTATTTTAATCAATTGTCCTTTCTATCTAATGTATTCAGTGTCTTGATTAGTTTATACAATTAAAAAAGAGCACGAACACTTCTTATAGTAACTCAGTTAAAACATATTATCTGCCGATTTTGAGAGCGAAGCTTTAAAAAAAAGTAATCTGAAAGGAATAAAAACTAGTACGATCCATATCATTTCTTGTTTATCGATAACAATATTCTTCTCGGGTTTTTACACTATTAGTTAATCTTTAGTTTTTGAATATCATCAGTATTCAAAAATAAAATAAAATACTACATTAATACAACAGAACAACTCCAAGTGTATAGAAACAGTCGTCCGAGTATGTATTTTTCAAAATTTATTAAAAATAAATAACGAATAAACCTATGATAACGAATTAGTTTTCCAACACTTCTAATTTTTATTTTGACCTGAATATTCTCTCTAACTTAAACAATTTTCTTGCATATTAAAATCCAGAAAAAACTTCTCATCTATGCGAAGTCTGTAAATTTTGTGTAAGAAACCAATAAAAAGTCAATATTTCATGATGGCTCTATAACGGAGTTTTGTTCAAAGTAAATTAGAATTAAATTCTTCTAAGCTGCCACCAGAATAATTGCCCGTTGTTTTTCTAATTTGTTTCTCGAATACAAAGCTTAACAGTGATATTGTCTCGTAATCAAATTTGATACCTTATAGCTATGATTTGATTCGTTTACACGTATAGAAGTGAACACAATTTGATAGACTACAGTTTTCATACTGTGTCAGAGCTTTGATAGGAGCTATGAGAGTTACTCTAGAAATGTATTCATGTGCATACTTAGTTCCACGCGTTCATATGAATTGAGTGTCGTGTTTACTTCCAATTAGAAAATTATGGAACTTCATGAGAACTTCAAAAAGAACTTCTTTTAAGCATATAGTGTAACAATACCACTCTATCACACAACATAATCTTAGAAGTCTATGCATAGGTCACAGATGTAACGAAGCACACTACTATTATCGTGAAAGCAGTATAAGACAAAGCCTCTACTAATAAATCAGGGCTTCGTTTGCTTATTAAATAAGCATCTCCGATATTATGAGTGTTGCAGTAATGAATATCGTACTCGACTCATATTGGCATTTTTTCTTGAATCTGACAAACGCTTAGATAATCTCAATTGATCAGCACTCAAATTTATGAGACATCTCATATTTCAATTGAAGATTTTTGTGAAGTTTTTGTCAATTTAATAAATACTCACATCATTTTTCTTTCTCGGCTCTGTATAATATAGGTAACTACTAGTAGAAAGAAGGCAAATAGAGTAGTATAAAAATATGTATAATTCGTACTTGGTAGTTACTGAGTAGTTCTCTATTGTAGAAGTCTTCATGTACGCATTTTTTATCGCACAATAGACACACTTTTGCTTGATACTGAAAATAAAGAATTGAGTCAATGTAATCAGAACTGTCAAAGAAGTTAAAACTAAACAGTAAAAATAATAAAATATTCTATTTGACGATTTATGCTCTATCAGAGAGAGAGAGAGAGAGTAAATCTTTTCCGTCATTTGGAAGATCATAATTTTACGATTCGATTTCTATTCATTTAAAAATTGTACGCTCTTCGTTTATGAATAGGAGAAAAAAGATTTAATCGATGAACTTGAAATATTGAAGAACAAATTTGTTGAACGTGAAAATGAAGGTATTCGGCTAAAAGAACTTCTTGAACATATACAGTCTGATAAAACAAAATTAAGTCGACGAGTTTCAAAACTTGTTCTTAATGGTAAAGAAAAAACAAAGAATCGCATATTTATTAATACTGTTCAATCTTTGTTAATTTTTCTGCAGAAAAAGATCTTTTACAAGAATTACAAAAATGTCGTCGTACAACAAAAGCTCCAACACCAACAGCATCTGGTGCTCCATCAACGAAAAAACTTTCTCTTCCAGCTCGACTTGATATTCATTTGAAGAATGTTGAAGATGAACGTGATATGTATAAAAATGAAACAGAAATTTTAGGAAAATTACTTAATGAACGCTTAAATGGTAAATCAGCATCATCATCGCCATCCACTACACGTTCACGTGGTCGCTCATTATCACCAACACCTGGCATGCGTTCCGCAGCACGCCGTGATATTGCAACATCACCTGTTATACAACCCAGCAAACGATCAACTAGTAGTTCTAGTACGTCACCGACACGTTGTACTGTTTGTGGAAGTAATCGAAATCGATCATCACCAACAAAAGTATGAAAAAAAACTAATATCAATAGGTTTATTTTAATCCAAATTTTTGTTTTAAATATTACAAGGATTTCAATTCGTATGACACTCAATTAAAAAATCTTGAAGATGAACGTGACCGTTTACGAAGAGAACTAAATAAATATAAACGATCATCAAGAGATAAAGTAGGTTACGTAATAAACAGAAGGCTGTACTCATGTTGATGTAACTAAAAAACAAAATACTTGATGATGCAACTCTTTTGGCACTAGAATTTAGAACTAAAATATGTTCTACAGCTTTGTTAACCTGATAATAAATGCGTATAGTGAAGAATCTCTAGAAGACTATAGCTTATTTCTACGAATAATGACGATGGTTTCTGTTATTTTTTTTTAAATTCGAATATAATCGCTTTTCCGTGCTCAATTTTTGTATTTCTTGTTGATATTCTCTCATGATTTATTTTCTTCTTCATATTCTGCCTTTGTTAACTTACCAGTATTCGTATACTAATCATCAAATTAACGGAGAATTAAGTCCATCATATTTTTATTAGCTTAAAAACGATGATATTGACGATTTTCAAAGTTCTAAATAGATTAATTCTCTAATTTGTTTTTCCTTGATCAGGTAATGAACATGGTAAATGAATGTATTATTAGCATCCCTAATTTTTGACATTTTGTAAATTATTTTTATCTGCATAGAAATATCAGAAACTGTATTTTTTAGGAAATTTATAACCGTTTTCCAAATGTTCAAATTTCAATAATCGATCAAGCACGAGTTCTAGAGAAGTCTAATCGAAATAAAAATCGATAGATATTAATGTATATAATTAGTTAACTTCATTAAAATATTTCTATATTCAAAACGACAAAACAAAGTTTGAGGAGTGTTCAGGTATTGATCACGCGTTCATTCGCTCTCATCCCGTAGTTACATCTATGTCTACCCTTCAATTTTTTCGACAATAGTTTTTAAATATTTCGTAAGACTTCTTATATTTCTACAAATGAATATCTAATTTTCCTAATCATATTTTCTAAAAGTATGATTTAATAACAATTTTCATATTGTAGGACATGGATGAAACTCAATTGGGTAAAGTAATGCGTGAGAAAGAAGATTTACAACTATTACTGAATAAATTTGAACGTCGTATGGCAGAGGTATGAATGAAAAAGAATTCGATTAATTTATTTTTCTATTTTGATTCAATTAGATTCAGGGTAATATAAAAGTACTTACCAATGAACGAGATAATTTAAATGTTCTCTATGAACAAGTTAGTTTTGTTACTTTTTATTATTCCATAAGAATTACAACGAGAATTCATTTTATAGACCAAAGAGGAATTACAGAAGACTCGTCACGATTTACTTCAAAATGTTCAAACACCAAAAGTTTCTCTTGCTGCTCAATCAATTTTACGTAAAGTTGAAAATGAACGTGATACCGGTTTGTCTGATTCTTCATAAAACTTTTCCATAAAATCTTATCTTATGCGTTTTTAGCCATCATTGAAGCGCGTACAGCAACCAACGAACGGGATTCATTACGAGAACGTTTACGCGTATGTGTCAACAAGTGAATTCTTTTTGTTTTCTATTCAATTTTTTAAATTTATACTTAGATTGGAACAGATACTAACTTAAATGAACGGGCACGATTTGAACAATGTATTGAAGATCTTCAAGTTGAAATACGAAAAGTAAACTTTAGAGAACTCTATCGAATACAATGGTGACTGCTCATCTTAAAAGCTATCTATGTCGTTTGGTAGAGCAATTTGTGATGCACATTATACTTCATATTGTACTTAGTATTTTCATCAGGGAAAGTTTTGATGCTCGTAGACACTAAATTTGAGTGAGTAGTAAATATTTACCTATAGTATGACCGAATGGTAAAAATCAATTTGATGTGCTCAAGTCAATCTTCTGAAGCATTAGAAAAGAAAGAAAGAAAGAAACCCTTGCCTTGCGGCTACCTTTCAGTATAGGGTGCTGTCCGGAGACAGTTTCAAGAGCCCGATATTTTTCCTACAACTATTACTAGCTGCAGCTCTGGACAGAAGGCCGGCCTGACTCAGAGTTCCTTCCGCTTAATTACTTAAGCTTCCCATGCATACTGACTAACCACATACTATCCATGAGGATATTTTTATGTATGTCATATGTAATCAGCGTGCTGAAGCATTAAGAGGAAACATTATTTGAGAAATTTTAAACGGTGTGACATGACTAGTTTTCTATGGATAGCTGCAGTTTTCCAATCAGGAGGTACATATTACAAACATCATACAGTTTTCTATGTAAATGAATCAAATAATAGGCGTTTTTAAGTTCAGTTTCAAGCACAACTCATTAGCACTCATACTGAGATGTTGGTCTGCACTATGAGAAAGTTGTACAGTTTTTCAATTTTTGATTTGAGAAAGAATATCGAGAAATTTAAAACATCATGAAAGTGAAAAATTACAAATGTTAAGAAAATTCGATGATTCTGATTCTCTAGAAATTTGTTTGTATTAAGTATTAGGTATATATGATAGAAGATTCAATTCATTTCTGTTTCATTAAATTCAAAGAAATCGAGATAAACATTGATTTGCTGACATCACATTCAGTCATGATACTCTGAAATATGATTCGCGTCTGTTATAATATCTCATAATTGGTACCTAGCTTCTCAGGATCATTAAAACTCGATGAAAATGCAGCTTTCGATATACTGCTTGACTCGTCTCGAGTTGCTTACCAAAACGGTATTGATAGGTTTTCAAATGATAAGTGGTCATCTAACTCAACAAAATTGCATAATTTGTTTTACAATACAAATTCGTTTTTATTATTTTCAAGCTTGATAATGATCGTGAAGAAATTCTGCAACAAAATCATTTATTACGTGAACAAATAAAAGCTTTTGAAAGTAAATTCGATGAACAATCATTTACAATTTCACAATTAAATCAAGAATTGAATGATCAAAAGACAACTTCATCACAACTAAGATACTTATCTGAAGAAGCTGAACGTCTCGTACAAGAAAATCAACGACAATTGAATTTGAAAAAAGAAGAACTTCGAGCACAAGACGATAAAATCTTAAGACTTGAAAAGAAACTTTGTATGTGTTGAACAATTGATTTCTATTTTGAATATTAATATTTAATTTTCTTTTGTTCATTTAGATGATATGCAAGAAACAAATAAAGATATAAAAGACGATTTTCATACTGTTCGTACAACAGTTCAAACGCTTGATAAAGAAAAAGATCGTTTATGTAGTGAACTTGATCTGAAAGCAGAAGAAAATTTACATTTAATACAAGAAATTAATTCAAAAACACGTCGTATTGAAGAACTTAATATGATGGTTGCAGAATTAGAAGCAGCATTAGAGTAAACTTCATTTAATGAAAAAAAAAACGAAATCATTTAATCATATTCATTTTTTGCAAATTTTAGTCGTTCAAAAGATGATACGAAACAAAAATTAAAAGAAATATCAAGTATGAGAATGCAACTTGATCGAAATCTTGAAGAATTAAATGAATATCGACGTAAACTTGATCTTAGTGCACGAGATAATAAACGCTTACAAGATGATCTCTTAACTGTTACACGTGAAAATCAAGTAAGAAATGAAAATTTTTTAAATGTTGGTTTTTCTGTTTATATTAATTCAATAATTTATTTTGACCAAATTATCTATGTTAAATATTATTCCAGAATGAAGACAGGAACTCATAAAGCGTTACTAAAAGTTGAGAGCTGTTTTTTTTTAGAATTGATTGAAATGTTACGAAGTCCCTGAAACTCTTGGCTTATTAAACATACTCGTAGATAGAAGTACCAAAAGAAAAAAATTAACTATTTGCATTATGGAAATCTTCTAAAGCAACTGCTAAAACCTCTTCGTAGAAGAGACGATCTATTTGAGCTTCCTTTGCGGTCAATTCATTTTCGTAGCTTCAATTTGAAAGAGTTTTCCCATGGACAAAGAGACTTTTCATATGTAAAAAATGTAATCTATTTTTAGATGGTCATTGCCCAGAAATACTTTCAAGGTCAATTTCTATAAGATTTCCTATTCAAAATTCCGAAAATCAAGCATCTTTCATTTAATTAACCTTATTTGAGCTCCAATATATTTTGGGAAGCCAATTAGTTGGAGAGAATCTTCTATTATATCTGGCACGTAGTTCCACTGTAGGTAGTCGTTTAATATGAGAAGATTTTCTATTGTGTGGAGAGAATCTGTTTCTTTTCGCGTAACACCTCATGAATAATTGCAAGTGACATGAGTCAACAAAGCAGCCTGATTAATACACATATCTCATGTTGTTTCACTTTGAATAGATCGATAGATTATTCTCTAGACACCTCTAACATGTTTCTCTGCCAATTTAATGAAACTATTTTTTGAGAATTATTTTGTCGTCACATTGCAAATCAATTCCATATTGTGAGTATTTGTTCTAGAACCTTGAAGCTAACTTGGAGCCGTGACCTTTTTATTAATGAGCGACAAATGAGTTATACTGTGAGAGCATGAGTCAGTCAGCATATAAGAAAAGATAGTAGCGTGCATTCGTCAATGGAAAAGATTCTAAATTTAACATTGAACTATAATTAAATTATTTTGTCATATATGGGACAGTTTTATAAGATTAGTTAAACTGAAATTAAATCTTATGAATTTCCAAATGAAATGGAAATCAAGAAAACATACATACACAATATCAATAAAAAGAAAGCATTGTAAAAACAAAATTTCATTTTTTTCTACTTCTACATGAGAGATAGAGAGGATCAATCCTGTCAAGTTTTGAAGATGACTAGACACGAGGAAAATTAGGTGTTGTTTGTTTTTTAATTGAAAAAATTATACATACACGTAAGAACAAGATATAATTCTCTTCTATATCAGTATGCTACATTTCATGTCTCTTTTAATACAAAAAAAACAACTAATAGCTCCCTATAATTCTGCAGATAATTTTCAGTAAATTTATTTCAAATCAGAAACATAACGTTAATCCAAGAAATTTTAGCATTTTTCATTTAAACATTCAAAAATTTGTCTTTTATCACATGTTGCTAGGCACTTCATCAAGAACTTGAACATGTTATTGATGATAAAGAAAATCTCAAATCACAAGTACAAGAATATATTAAAGAAATATCAAAATGTGAAAATGTGATCTCGCAAAAGGTAAATCAAAATTTATTGTATAAATTATTTTATAAGTACAAAATCTTCATTTGAAATAAAATGAAGGCCTTTTTAAAAGTGCTAAGGAAAATTCAATTTTAATTTTTTTGGTTTTGTTCTCTAGGAAAATGATCGAACAACTTTATTTGAACAATATCGTGAAGCAACAAATGAATTAAGTCGTGCAAAATTAACTTTAGCCGATATGGATTCTCAAGCAGCTAATCTTAAACAGGAATTATTAATAAAATCAGCTGATATGAAACGATTAGCAGAACGTACTGAATACCTTGAACGAGAACTTCAACAAGTATGTAACGAAAATTTTCAACTTTTTATTTGTTGTTAAATATTCTTTTTCTTTTTTTCTTCAGCATTTATCTGTTGGTCAAGAATATGAACTTCAACTATCAAATATGAATCGTTCATTGCAACGTAATGAAGAAACTATAAAAAAACTACAAATCGATAAACAAAATTATGCTAGTGAAATAACAAATGTTCGTGATCTTAATTCAACAGTTGAAACAAAAAAAGAACAAATTATTCGACAATTAACTTCAAAGGAAATTGAAAATGAACAATTGCATGCTGCTATAAGTGATATGAAAATCGAAATTGATATGTTACGTACACAAATACTTAATGAAAAAGCCATGGTACATAATTTAGAAGATATTATTGGCTCATCAAGAGAAAAAGAATTTCAATCGCAAATGCATGCACAAGAAAAAGATTCAGAATTACAATCAATAAAAGATCGAGCAAATATGAATGATCTCAAAGTGTATGAATTGATTATATTTATTTTAGATACGACATTTCGCGTGTGTGTGTGTGTTGTTTTTTCTTTCAGGCAAAGTCAAAGTAAAGAAATAGCTGCATTAAGAGCACAAATTATTGGCTTAGAAACAGATAACGATCGATTTAAACGACAATTAACAAGTGAAAGATTTGAACGGTAAATTTCATTCATTTACTTTCAATTAAATAAATCATATCGCTTATTCAAATGAATTATAGTGAAAAAGCAGCTCAGGATTTACGGAAGTTAACTGATCTTACATCGCACATTGACTATGATGCACGATATCGTAGTACATCAGCCGGCATAACGTAAAAAGACTTATTTTGTTTTTATAAAGAAAATATATTTGTGAAAATCAATATTTTTAGAGCAAACCCTCATCGATCACCCACTCGAAATTATTCTCCATCACGTTCTGAAATGGCACAAACATCACCTACTAAAGTGAGTTATTTTCTTTGATTTATCTGAGTCTATCATTTCGAAATATTACTTATTGACGTCTAACTATGTTTATATATATATATATATATATGTATGCATGTAAAGGTCTCCATATCATTGAAAGTTTCTGAACTTGATAAAAATCATGAAACTCTATCACAAACAAACAATAATATCAATACCAACAACAACAGTAATTCTAATGATGATAGAGTGGGTTATCATCTTGAATTGATTTTTTTGCTCTATTCTCTTGTCTTCATCTTGCTTAGTTTGATAATTCATTTTCTTTCGAAATTATTTTTGTTCATCTATCTAATTCATCTAATTTATTATTTTTAGGGCACTGATCGATCATGTAGTTTATGCGTTGATACAACACCGTGAGAGATTATATCCTATCCGTTGATTAGCAAATGCCTTGTCTTGGCCATATCAAAATTTCTTCGTTTTTTTAATACTTACTATGTATTTGTGTGTGTCTCTTAGCAATTCTTTTTCTATGATCACTTAAGAACAAGTGTTGTTTTTTGTTAGATACTTAAGATTCTCTTTCTCTATCTCGCTCTGTGTGTTTTTCGTAGACAATAGTTTAAAAGAAATGAAGAAAAGCTCAATTTTGAATTGAAAAAACCTGCATTTTATATTATTTTCATCACAAACTTTTTCCTTTGTCTATGTAGATTTGTCGAAGAAGACTTTATATATATATATATATATATATATATGAATTTTTTTCTTCTTAATGTTGATGAAAAAACTCTTCTGTTTTTTTTTGGAATACAATAAAGCAAGAATAAAATGTTTGTTTTTAAAGTTAATCGTTTGCTTCTCGGCGATGAAGTCGATGAAGAAATTCATGAATACGATATGGTTGAACTTGCATTTCACCACGTTGTAAAATTTGTTGTAACATTTGAGCTACCTTTTTCGAACTACGGCGCTGTAATGGATGATAGTTGTTATCCTCGAGTGATGATAAAAATAAATCATCATTGATTGCTTGACTAATCTAAAAAAGAAAGGGAAAGAATTTTGTCGATGAGAGATTTGAGAGATGAAGTTTACCTCAATGATGATCATCGATATACATAACCAAACGAGTACATAACGGAGACTTATGAATGAATAGAAATGTTGAGCCATTTGTGCTTGTTGCTTTTACTAGAAATAGAATTCAAATGGGAGCTAGTAAACTTACGTTTTTTTCTAGTGAAAATGACATGAACAACTATTATTACGCTGTTTGCTTTATCTTTTTAAATTAGCATCATTTGATTCAAAGTGACTAACGTTATAATTAGGTGCCTTAATCATATCATCTATCCTTTAGTTTTTTTGCGAAGACAAACATTTAAATGATTTGAATGGGCTGCGTTAACTAACTTTAGTTTAAAAAGTTCTTTCATTTTTAGGACGTTTACAATGATAGTGCAGGATAATATATGGCTTATTCTAACGTGTTGTGCGCACTTACTTTTGACAGAAGATGCTCATATATATGAACTTAAGAATAAGGATAGAAAACTGAAATTTCATTACGAACGGAAAGGGAAACAGTCGTACCGTCTTTCCTTAGGATATGTATTGAACTGTGAAAGTAAGTAAGAAAAATAATTCATTTTTAGTTATTTTATTATAGTAATTAAATATCTCAATTCTCGATGGGAAACGTTAATATTTTTTCCTTTTTATTTGCGCATTTTGTCGATCAAGATATATATGATCAACATTTTCTCTACAATAACAAGAGTTTATATACTAAAAAAAGTAGAGAGTTTTGAACTATAGAAAGTGAAACGGAAGTTTTGCTATCACTAATGAGTTTCTCAATACTGAGTATAGTTTTATTTCTCATTACAAGTACGATGTATTTGATACGGCTATTTCTTGGCTCACTCGACAACGACTAGATTTATTTCGAATTTCATCGTAGTGATAATTTTAAGCTGTTTTGATTTTGGTGTTCATAAAAAACAAGAAAGAAATCTACAATTCTTTCTTTTTCCAACAAATTTATAGATTGAAATCAATTTATCATTATTTCCGATTGAATGCTATTCATCTGAAAATCCAAACAACAAGCAAAAAAAACAGTTTAACCCATAAAGCATCTTATTCAGTAAATAGAACGCACAAGAAAACTATGATTAACACAGAGATTTCTTCTTTTTTTTTCAAATGAAAAATCTCAGATAATCATAATCATAATCATATTATAAAAGAAGAATCTACACATCACATATATGTTACAGTTGACATGAGAATTTAGTTGAGATTGGAATAATAGATTTAATTAAAGATAGAGAAAATAGACACAAAAGAGAGCAAAGAAAAGAAAAATTCTAAAACCAAAATGCAAATAAAATTATATGAACGATATGGAAATTTTTTTCTATGAGTTAGATTGAGCAAACTATTTTCTAATTGATCATAATTTAGATTTCTTTTTTTAAATTGGTGACCAAAACAAAAGAAAATTTATTTCTTATTTTTCATTTATCTCAACGCGCTCTCATCTCGCTTGTATGAGTCGTACAGTAATTAATGTATCTTGCTGAACTGATACTTTGATATTAAAAGAAAATAAAATACTTCGTTGATTATGACAATAATGTTACATCATTAAATAAATACTTATTTATCCGAGTTTTACATTCTAAAAGATTTAGTAAAATTTATTAAATTCTAATTTTTTTATGATCATTTCGTTATTAATTTGAGTTTTAATAATCGATCTTCGTCACTATGAAACAGACAATGATCAGTCATAAATTATGAAGTTTCTTTTATATTAACTTATTTATTTGTTTAACGAAGAACCATTGTTTTGATAATAACACATCAAATGGACTAATATAAGAAACATCTTTATTAATTTCATTAAAAATTTAAAAAAAACATTTACTTTCCTTCCATATCAATCGAATTAAAAACTGTTCCATTCTCATCCCACCTGCTCGAGATCTGTACTTCGAAATAGCTATAGCGAAACTCTCTTTCTGTCTTTTCTTCGAAAGCAAAACGAAAGAGAAAAATCAATGTCCCTATGTCCCGCGTATTAAAACAAACATCTTTTCAGAATCTTTCTCATTTGTTTCTCTTCAATCATGAAAGATTAACAGAATTACTCTTGGAAACAAAAACGTGTTTTTTGAATCTACATAATCAATCAAACTATCTCATATCACTCACTGATAAAATTTTATTTCTATGAGTCACTCTCTCATAACATGTATAGAATAATCAACAATTCCAATTTCAACGAGATTCTAAACTCTACTGCCACATATGTATGACCTGTGTCATGTATCTTAATTGTTTGTTGTGTGCAAAAAAGGTCACGTACATTAGCCTATGATAGTCAGATTTATTAAAGAAGAAGAAGAAAAAACATATTGATGTCAAACTTTATCATTCTTTGTCCCGTAGGAATCAATATGTCTCATATCATAGTTAGATATCCAAATATCAAATATTCCATATTGAATATTTTACAATAATATAGAGAAGATCAAAATAATACGTGAAGGAAAATTCGAATAAATTTGTTTGTTTGATGTATATGTTTATTCCATCTATTTTTTCATAAATGTGTGCAACGGATTGAAAAGGTCAAATTAATCAAAACATAATTGCCTTGATTTATTTTCCATCTAAATATACAAAATTGTATATGGAAAGTGTGTTCTCCAGTTATCGGACAAACACATTCTAGACTAGTACGATTATTCAGTCCATCTGATATATAATTAGCTAGCCTGTTCAACTGATCAGACTGTAATCCTGCATATTCCTTGCATGTGTATGATGAACGAAATACAATCACAGAATGGAAGAAGAATAATCGATCGGTCGATATCACCATCAATAGATATGTGCACTTGGCTAATGCATTCCTCTTTGAGCAACCACTACTGATATATACGGGGGGGGAAGCAGAAAAAGAAAGCAACAACGAGAATAGTGTTCATTAGAAAGAAAAGAGAGCGGAGCGGGCATATGATAATCGTGTTATCAGTCAGTCAGTCAGTCAGTTATTTATCAGAGAAGAAATGGTACGAGCTAAATTTATTAGTCTCTCTCGAATTTGGTATGCAATAATTATTGTAATAATTCATTTGACTCTGGTCTATTTTGGTATTAAACAATGTTATTTTAATGATAGTTTACCATGGCCAAAATCAACTTCGTTATCACCAAAATTCGAATTATTAATACAAAAAATTTGTCTTTTAACATCCCTTGTTCTTCTTTTTCTTTTTATTTATCCAGCATTATTCAAAATTGGAAATTTATCAAATGACAATCAACAATTAAAAATCAATCACTTCGATGAAACTCGTATAGGAAAATCAAAAAAATCAATATGCATCAGTTTTTGGAATCATTTTTTCTCATTAAGTAGTACTCTACATTTAACTATGAGTTTTCTTATTATAATATCGTCTTTATTAATTGACGCGAAACAAATTATGGTTGGATTAAAAAATCCAGGTATGATCAATAGAATTATAGCTATAAATATGCTGATAATTATTCTCATAGCGATTATTACACAAATCTTTTTTTGTCGGGGAAAATGAATTATGATTCAGAAAACGCAAGAGATTACGATATTATTTTATTTGTTTCATTCAGTATTAAATTAAGAATATATAATTCTACTGTGATATAATTAGAGAAATTGAGAAAAAAAATCCTGCTATTTCGATTATAGTGATTCATTTTTAGATAGATAATGGCTCTGAGCTAATTAGAAAATATTGATTATGTAATAATTTATGAAGAAGTAGAAAATAAAAAATTGAAATCTATACTTTAATCAAATGATAAATTTTTCTCTCTAAATGTGTGTTTAGTGTTATTACTGCACACTGATTTTGATCTACTATTCGACTGGTCTCCTTCATTTATATCATCGTCTACTTTAATTTCTACTGCTAAACAATTAACAACATCAAATATAACGTCTTCATCATTATCATTCTCAATCGATTCTTATTCACGTTTAAGTCTTTTAAATTTTCTATTTGCTTCATTTATTTGTATTCTACGAGAACCTTATGTATTTTGGTCAATATCAAAAATATTTTCCATAATTTATTCACTTGCTCTTGCACTTAATGTTTTACAATGGTGTTTGATGTACAGTGCATTTCAATTACTATTAAGAAATGTATGTTTCAATACAAATGATTCTACATATAATGTTGGTTACTTACTTCTTTATCAACCTTATACGACATTTTTTCTTTATTTGCTGCTCGAATTTCTTGTGTATATATCGTCAATAACATTTTATTATTATGCATATAATCGTTTTAAATATCATAAAAATCTTTACTGTAAATCATCATGTTATGAACGTTGTTCACATTATTGTCCAAGTTTGATTGCAATTATTATTTTATTACTATACACATCATGTAAAATGCCACTTGTTCATGATATATTTTTACTTTATATTCAAACACGTCTAAGAATTTTATTTATTACATTTATTTATGAAATCGTTCATGTTTTACTTATTCTTGCAATATGGATTTATTTAACAACAAAAATCGATTGGCATTTAAAAAATCACAATAGCGAACAACAATTATCTTCATTATCAAATCATGGTTTAACGGTGAAAAATACACCGATACAATCAACAGCAGTATCATTGCCAGAATTGAATGGGCATTATTCATCGAAAGATAAAACAGCACGAAGATTATCAGATAATATCTATCAAAAACCTTATGAAAAAATTCGTATTTTTCAATCGGAAATTTATTATCGTAACCGTCCTAAAAATTGGAGTTTACCATTAAATCAACAATCAACAATGTTGGCTGCGTTTGATTGTGATGATGATGATGATGATGATGGAAATGATATTGTTGTTCAGCCACCATCATTGCTAGCAAGTGAGAATAAAACCAATAATCATCATAATGAAATACAATATCGTGATGCGATACGAAAAACTGTTTCAAGTCTATATAAACCTTCCAAGGTACAAAATGATGTAAATTCATTGAAACAAGTTTCGTTACGAAATAAAATACCGCCTAAACCACCTGCAAAAAATTTCACTCAAGAACAAGTAGAAGCAGCAAAAATCCGAGCTCAACAATTAATTATTCAACAAAAAAAGTCATCAGAATATATGAAACACCATCGTTCAGCGAATATGCTTGTTAGTCAAGTTTGATGTTTGTTTTTATTCTTAATGTAATAAATTTATTGGTTTCTTATCAAATTACTTAGCTTAATAAATCCTATGGGTATGAACGTCCTTGCCAGTCATGAGTAACTCTCTATTCACGGATATCTTCACTTTTGATACTATCATCTTTTTGCATTTACGATAAGAACAATTAAAATATTGATTCGTAACTGATAATATGCATTTTTTGGGTACTCAATAAGTGAGTATATACTAGACTCGGTCAGTGTGTCCGGCCGACCGTTTACATGATAACTCTTCCCTATTACATTCGATTGAGCTGAAATTTTGTGCACAGAATTGTCTCATCAATATCTTGGTCGAGTTCGAAGATGAAAAGGATCCGTCAAGAAATGGCTGAGTTATCGAAAAAATTGTCATTTTTGATCAGATCATCCCTGAGGGGAAGTACAGGGATTTTTCAAAAAAAATTTCTTCTCAGAATTATTCACAACATATATATAAATCGACTCAGCTTTTAACGCTGATTCCGAATCTGATACTAGTTTTGAAGTAAATCGTAGCTTTCTAACGAAACATCGCCTGAAAAAGGTCTCAAAATGCACAAAAACTGAATTCAGAACCCAAATTGCCTAGTTTCTCATGATAATTTTGGTGTTCAAACATTCTAGAATGACTCATATGTCCCATGCACTTCTTGCAGTACACATAACTCTCGGATGAAATCCGAAGTTTCCACATTTATTATTTTAAACAAAGGTGAAAGACGTATTAAGCTAATAAAGATAACTAGATCAATTGAAAATATATTGATATTATTTTCATAGACTTTTTTTTCTAACTAATACTGTACATACGTATGTATTTAGATGAAATTCTGTCATCTGGTATTTTCAAAAGTCAGATTACAACACTTTTAATTACGACGAATAAAAGTGATGATCATCATGAGGCACCATTGTCAGTGGAAGAAATATGTGTTGATATCTTCAATGTTTGCACGCGTCTGACGGCTTTAACATTGTATGAATCATCGCATAGAAGTCCTCTTCGATTCAATTTCGAGGAACTGTCACCTCCAAATATTTATTCTTCAAGTCTTTTGATGTTAAATATCAGAGTACAATGTTTCGCAAATTGTCTCTATCTTCTTGATGGTCGTTTTAGTCAACGTCATACGCTCTATGTTGATATGGTTAATGCTTATTATCCACAAAACTACAAAAATCAAGTTAGTTTTGTAAGAAATATCTCTATATTGTCGAATAACAAAATTCTTTTTAGGGCGATTTGCCAAATCTAAGATGTTTTTCTTTGTCTTGTTATTTCAAAATTTCGAATTATGATGAAACAATCCTACCATTACTATATCGGATGTCCAATCTAGAGGTACTTGGTTTGTGTTCTACCGTCTGTGATCGTGAGACATTTATTGATGGAAACGATTTGAAGAGACGCATTATTAATCGTATGTTACGCTTAAATCAATTCACATTTTATATTAGTTCATTGATGTATATTGACAATAAAATGAATTTGCCATC